GAAGGAAAGAAAACGAGGTGGACAAGGGATGGAATGCTTGACTCTAAAGAGGTACGAATCTTTAGTTCTAAAGGGTTAACAAAGATTCTTTTTAAAAGGGTACGAAACTTATTTTAAAATGGAGACGAAGCTTCTTTTAGAAGGGGTACGAAACAACTTTTAAAGGGGTACGAAGCTTCCATTCAAAAAAGGTCCGAAGCTTCCTTTCAAATGGGTCCAAAGCTTTCATTTAAAAATGGTACGAAGCTTTCAGTTAAAAGGGGTACGAAGCTTTCTTGTAAAAGGGGTACGAAGCTTTCACTTAAAGGGGTACGAAGCATCAATGAAAATTGGTTCAAAGCTTTAATTCTAAAGTGGTACAGAATCATAGTTCAAAGGGGTACGAAGCTTCAATTTGAAAAATAACCATCCCTAGCTCTACTCAGCATAAAAACAGCACAAAAATTAAAAAAGAGGAAACTTCCTTTTCCTCTTTGTTCATTTTCATCATCTCAACCCTCAATTTTCACCCACTCATTTTTTGCTGTACTCTTCCTCCTCCCCCACACAAAAAAAAATAATTCCTCTCACTCGCCTCCACTTTCTTTTCATTTTTCACCCCGCGCGCGCGAGTAAACGAACGGCCGAAAGGCACAAAAAATAAATTCTTTTCACTCTTTTATGGACTTTTTTTTTCTTCTCTTCTGCTTGTGAGATTTTCGCTGTGCGTTGTCGGAAGCGCCAAAAGAAAAGAAAAGAAAAAAAAGCTCCATTCGACTTGTTTATTCTTTTTTCATTTAAAACATTTTGGTGGAATGAGCACTCGACTCTCCAATGGGATGGCAACAGGCAAACAGCACAAATGTCTTTTTAGAGATGAGAAGAAAGAAACTGTGGGCGATGGGTTTGTTAAAAAGAAAAGGAAAATGAGAAAGTTGGATGGACGATGAAGGAGTGTGGGATGAGGTGGCGTTGGAGAGTTAAATGAAAACATCCACAAGGCTTGCTTAGTAAATGGAAATGGTTAATACCATGAAAGGAGAGAAAACGAAAGGAAAATGAGAAGTTTGAGGAGACATTGTAGGTGTTTTGAGGATTAAGCGCATTTATTAAATAGAAGGGGTGCAAAAATATGAGAGAAAAAGGAAAGAAACAAAAAATATTGATCCAAAAGGTCCAAAACTACATCAAAAGGGTTATCAAAAACGCAAATATATATATAAAATTAAGTAAATTAAAATTGGAAAAGGGGTATTCAACTACATTGAATCAAAGGTTATGAAACTATAGCTAAGAAGAGACATTAACATACAAGAATCAAAGTGGTACAAATCTAATGTTTAGAAAAGGGTACACAAGTAAAACACAAAAAGGGTGTAAAACTACAGACAAATCACCAATTTACAACTCCATCTCTATCAAAATCTATCACATCTATCCACGAGCACAAAAAAAATTATCTATGTTTTTTAGAAAAAGCGAAAAAAAAAGAAAATTCTGATGGTGATTTTTTCCCATTTTACTTCCCCTTTCCACTTAATTTCAATGTTTCATTTTCTCTCTCTCACTCCTTCATCCTTCAACTGCCATCCTTTATTTCCATTTTTAACAACACAAAAAAAATCTCCCCGAAAAAAAAATTATCCTTCACTTTCATTTCTCCTCCTATCCATCGTCCTTTTCGTGGATCGAAAAACAACACAACCCTCCTCGAAACTTTTTTTTTTTCATTTTCTTCATTTCGAAGCGATGGGAGAAGGCAAAATATAAGGGTAAAAGTGGAATATAATTTTAATGGATATTTGGCGCGCAAAGGCAGCTGTAGGCTGCTTAATAGAAAATTCAAAACGACGATGGGTGTTTGTTTGGGGGGTTGACGATGGAGATTTTCTCATTATCGAAAAAAAGACCCAGGCAGTTGTTGGAGAACAGGATAGAAATTTAGAGCATTGAGATAAAATGAAGGAATTGAAAAGATAAAAGAAATGGATTTTAGATGTGGGATGATGGGAGTGGGTGAACGGATTTAGAGGGTGGGAAGGTTTTGGACTGGTCTTATGATCCCGATTCTGATAGGATATTTTTAAAGTCAGATTCCTTTTCAACTTAGTATTTCAATCTTTTCAATCTTGTTTTTATGTTGTAGCAACTAAACCTAGTTTCTTAGTCTAGTGTCTTAATTTAGCAACCTAATCTAGTACCTTAAACAAACATTTTAATCTAGTATCTCAATCTACCATCTTAATCTAGGACCTTGATCTAGTATCTGAATCTAGTACATCAACCTAGTACCTTAATCTAGTACTTCAATCTAGTACCTCAATTTAGTATCAAAATCTAGTACCTCAATGGAGTGTAAGGCCTTAATCTGATACTTCAGTCTAATATCATAATCTAGTACTTCAATCTAGTCTTGTAATCTAGTACCTCAATCTTGTATCTAAAACTAGTATTTCCATTTAAATTTCATACAAGGACAATCTAATTTCTAACAATGGAACCTCAAGGACTAGCGATAATTTTTTAATTCCATCCAAAAAGAAGTAGAATCTTATTCTCATTTCAAATAAGAAAGTCCTCAGTAAAAAATTTCATTCCTCGATAAAATGAAGAAAAGAGAAAAATCTTCAAGAGCTGGATGAAATTTTCATACCAATTTTTGCTGTTCCGATGACCTTCTTCAACATCACAGACCATTCATTCGCATTCTTTGCATGGCAGTCTTATATTTTTTGCCTTCCATTTTTCAATGAGGCACTTTTGTGCCTTCATCTCATTTTCAAAAAGGAATGTTAAAAAAAGGTTCGCTTGTGCGAATGGCGAATGGCACTTTGTGCTTTAATGGCCGCCTCGCAAACACACACAATTTTTTTTGTGTGTTCCTTTCCTTTGTACATGAAGTAAGAGGACTGAAAGTGGAGAGAGATAAACACTTAGCGGAACGGCATCGCCATCGAAATCGCTTGGAAATATAAATTTTAATTAAAAATGCTTTTAAGGAATTTTTTTTGGCTCCTCTTTGCGATGCTTTTAATTTTTTTTTCAGCTTGAGCTTTTCTCTTTTTTTTTTGTATTTCTAGGGACGAGGAAAATAATTTTGTTGTGAAGTGCGATATGAAATTGAGTGAGTGGATGTAGAGGATGGATTGGATGAAGGAGGAAATAAAGGAAAAGGAAGGGGATAAATGTAAGCTGATAATGATAATGGCGATGATATTAACGAGAATGGAAGCATTGAGGAAGTTTACGGGGTAGGGAAGATAACATTGAACTCAGGTGGATGTGGATTGGTCTGTAGAGTTAGATCGTGTCATTAACTGTTCTATTATGCATGAATTTTCGTCTTAAGTTATCTAATAAAGTAATAAATGGTCAAACTGAGCATCAAAACTCAAATCTGGGCGTTCAAATCTAAATCTGAGCTTTAAAATCTCAAGCTGAAGTTCAATAACTCAAGCTGAGCTTCAATAACTCAAGCTGAGCTTTAAAATCTCAAACTGAGCATCAAAATCTCAAGCTGAGCTTCAAAATATAAAGCTGAGCTTCAAAATTGCAAGCTAAGCTTTAAAATCTCAAGCTGAGTGTCAAAATCTCAAGCTGAGTGTCAAAATCTCAAGCTGAGTGTCACAATCTCAAGCTGAGCTACAAAATCTCAAACTGAGTTTAAGTCTCAAGAATATTTATCCACGCTTCTAACAAAATCACAAATATCCTTCTCAAAAAAATCTCTTCATTTATCTATCAATTACCAATTTTCAATTAATTTAATGAGTTCTATTTTATCAATAAATATTTACTATTCTCGATTTCATTTTAATCCTCGTCTATTTTTCATCCGAAATTAACTAATTAAATCTATTTATCTAGTGGGGATTTAAATGCAATTAACGATTCAAAACAAGATTGATTGGAAATAAAGCCTAATTAATTTGATATCGGCCACATTAATTGCCTGTTGTAGATTTTTGTAATTATTTGAACAGTTTTTAAGTGTAGATTATCAGGAATGATAAAACTAGGAGTGGGATTGATTGAGTGGATTTTCATTAAGATTTAAAATGTGGAGGTGGATATGATATCTTGTGAGATTATTGATGGACATTTTTGGAGACTTTGATTCAAGTTTAATTGAGTTTGTGATATTTAAAATTAGGTTTGAAGATTTGACGGTTAAAATGAGTTTTATCGCTTACCCTGAAATTGTGACGCTCAGCTCAACACTTTATCAAATTGAATCACAGTGCCTCTAGCTGAAAAGCTGAGCCCTTCACACATTATTATTATTATTATAACATTTTATCGCTAAATTTGAGATTGTGACGCTCAGTTTGCTATTTGACGCTTAGCCTGAGATTTTAAAGCTCAACTTGTAGCTCGGCTTGAGATTGCGACGCTCAACTTGAACATCTTGACACTAAGTTGGTTGATTTTAAGCTCAAATGCTCAAAACATCACTCCTTCTCACTCCACAAACTCAAACAAAATTCCACACATCGACATTATCCCTCGTTATTCCTCATCCACATTCCTTTCCCTCTCAAAATCCTTCTTTAAAATATTTGCAAACATAAAAATCACCACAATCAACTTCGAATTGTTCGTTCTGTGACTTTTTTTCTATGCAAATAAACTTTAAACATCCTTTTTTTGCGCATTGTATCAACTGAATTATTTGCAAATAAAATAAAATATTTTGTTGGGGACGGATAAAGGCAAATATGTCCCAGAGCTATTATCCCTTTCATTACATTCTAGTCCATTGACAGAAAATTCCCATAATTCTTTACATTCATGTGAAGTTTTGCTACTCGAAATAAAGAGAAAAGGTTTAAATAGAAACGAAAAAAAATTATTATGTGATGACAAATAATAAAATTCTGTCCACCTGTTTTTGCAGTCAACAAGATCAAGATCGATTTAAAGCTACAAGATCAATGCACATCTAGTCCGAGATGACAACAAAACTATCCTCACGTCATCAATTCATTATCAATTTTAGAAATGCAAACTTCTCTTTTTTTCTCAGTGTGCAACCTCATTTCAATCGCATCAAGTCGATCTCGAAAAGTTTATTTTAATCTTAAAATGCAAAATTTTTTTAATCCCCCAAAAACTCATTCAATTTTTAAAGCCAAATGTAACTTAACAGGTAAGATTGTGGACTATAAAATCCAAGACCTACCAGAAGGTCGTTACTATGAGGCTGTAGAGCTGTTTGTCCGAGATTATCTTCAATGTGAACCGATGTGTGTCAGCAGAAAAATGCACGACAATGAGAACACAAAGAATGAGTTCAAGAAGATGTGGATGAATACAATTAGACAGGGTGTGTCGATTGCTTGCTTTAATGCTGTTGGAACGATGGTTGGAGTTAATATTTTGACGGTGATACAAAAGGATGGAATTAAGACGTTTGAGGTTAGTGATAAGTGATGGAACTATGATAAGTTTGTTTGGGATTTGGTGGTTATATCTCATTAATGAGCGGTCAAGTAATGTGACCCAACTCATTAGCACTTTTCTAGCTCTCTAGTGGCTAAGAATATACGTCATGTGCATCATTATCGTACAGCGGACGAGATAAATGATAAAGCAAAAAGAAGCATTATTTAAATTCCAATTATTCCCAGATTAACGATCAAAACGTCAAAGACATGGTCACTGTCATGGACTACACCCTCAACCAAGCCAGCATCTTCACAAAATACAACACTGACAAGTACCTGGGAAGCTTAGGACTGTGTGTCAGTCGAGAGTATCGAGGATGTGGAATCGCTAAAGAACTTCTTAAAGCAAGACGACAAGTCATGGAGAATTTGGGTTTGATAGTTACTGCCACTGTATTTTCAGCAAAAGGATCACAAAATGCAGCAAAAAGTGTTGGTTTTGAGGAAGTTTTTGCTGTTCGGTGAGAAAATTTTTGTCATTTGTTGAGGCTTTTTAAGAAGTTTTGATTTATTTTTTAAGGTATGAAGACATGAGGAAAATTTTGAATATTGATTTTATGAATGAGATGTCAGATTTCTGTAAAATAATGGCACTGAGCCATTGAACGACAATTTAAATGTTCTATGAATAAATATAATGTTTTTTTACTGTGGATAATTTTTGTTGTGACTTCTGTTTTGGGTACAACATGCAATATATCATATATATTATATTATATATGGACACTTATCAGTATTATCAATAGTTAAATTCCAGATATGCTTTAGTCTAACTTAGATTAGATAAGAATTCGCTCCAAAATATTGTTTCTCAGCTGTGTTTCAAGAAATCGATTTGAATTTTTAAAATAATCACAAAAAATGTCAGAATCGACACCAAAAGTATACTCAACATTCACAGCAAAAGACAAAGACAGCGACAAAATCATTGAGTATCGAATCCAAGACATTCCAGAAGATAAATACGAAGAAGCTGTAAACTTATATCTTGAACATTTTATAAAAGATGAGCCATGTGCAGAGGCTAGAAAATTATACGAAAATAAGCATGCTGTAATCGAGTTGACTTATCTTTGGAGAGAAGGAATTAAAAGTAGTCGATTAGGTGTTGCTTGTTTTAAAAGTGATGGCGAAATGGTTGGTGTGAATATTTTGTCAATAACTGCAAAAGATGATGAGCATTCGATTAAGGTAAGTTGATGAGTTTTGAGTTTCTGTTCCGAAAGGTACACGATGGCTTAAACGTGGCACAATTCCGGATTTGGTATAATCAGTGCTTCATTGTTAGCCATTTAACGCCTTCTGCGTGGGTTCTACAGTTGGTTAATCTTAAAGTAACTAGGTTTTTAAGTCATAACTTGGTCAAAGCTTTGCAGCAAAAATAAATTTCTATTAATATTCAATTTTAGGCATCTGAAAAGAATCTTAAAGACATGGTCGCTGTCATGGACTACACTATGGAACAAGCTAACATTTACTCAAAATATAACGTCGACAAGTACCTTAGCAGCTTAGGTTTGTGTGTAAACAGAGACTATCGAGGACGAGGAATCGCTAAAGAGTTGTTAAAAGCAAGAGCTTATATTTTAAAAGATTTAGGATTGACAGTAACAGCGACTCCATTCTCAGCTATTGGATCACAATATGCTGCAAAAGGTGCTGGGTATGAGGAACTGTTTGAGATCAGGTATGATTATTTTTGAGTTTTAAGTCAAGTTTTTGAAGCTTTACATTTGACTTTTAGCTATGAGGACTTGAAAAAGGTGTCACCAGATTTTGAGTATAAAAATGTAAAGTCAAAGAGCTATAAAGTCATGGCTTTGCAGATTTAAGAGAGTTCTATATCCTAGAAGCATTCAAATTTATGACGGTATTGACTCACACACATTATTGCCATTTTTAATGTATAGTAATCAATAAATAATAACACTAATCTATTCATCTTATCTTTATTACTTCCTCGCTGTATAATCGCAAGTTTAAACGTGATTCGTAATCAATCCGGGCCAATAACTTCGATAACAGCTTTAATGCTGACAATACTTTTATTTCAAATACGCATTGCAGTGGTTGTGCGGTTCAAAGTTAAGTTTATAAAATAAATTTTAAACAAATAATTAAATTAAAAATGCCAGACACAAAAAATTCAAAATTCCTCAAAACATACAGCACATTTAAAGCTAAAGATAAAGACAACGAATCCATAAGTGAATATAAAATCCAAGAGATTCCCGAAGATCGATTCAACGACGCCATCAGAATGTTAATTGAAGCTACAAAAGAAGAACCTTTATGTGCAAGCAGGAATGTTTATGAAAATGATGAAACAAAGCAAGAACTGGTCAGAATATGGACAGCAATGTTAAAGGCTAGATTGTCTGTTGGTTGTTTTAAGGATGATGGTGAGATGGTTGGATTGAATGTGCTGATAATTAAAAATCAAGGAGAAGAAAGCTTGTTTGTTGTGAGTGTGATTGAACTTTAATAAAGCTATGCTGTAAGCTTATCAGAAGCTATTAATTATTAAATCTAAATCTTCTTTTAGAGCGAAGATAACAACATCAGAGACATGATGACTAACATGGCAGCAATCCACAAAGAAATAGACATCTTTACAAATTTCAATGTCGATAAATACTTAACAAGCTTGGGACTGTGTGTGGCCACAGAATACCGAAACAGAGGAATCGCAAAAGAACTTCTCAAAGCTAGACCACAAATTATGAAGAATCTTGAATTGACACTGACTGTAACGACATTTTCAGCTATTGGATCTCAAAAAGCAGCCAAAAGTGTTGGATTTGAGGAGATTTATGTGATTAGCTATGAGGAACTGAAGAGTCGAGGCTTTGATTTTGTAAATGAATTTTCAGATGTTTATAAGATTATGGCAATGAAGTTGTGAAGTGACAATAAAAAGTTTAAGGTAAAAGATTCTAAGATGGCTTCTGAAGTCGGCTCTTTTGCTAGTTACAGTCTCTGATAGCAAAAGTCGTTAATCGATCAGAAATCCGTCGCCTCGCCGGCATGGTCTTGGAATAGAGCTGGATTCGTTTTTAATCCGGCTTCACGCGAGAGTCAAGGCGTTCTTTCATTGGGCTTCTGATAAATTAACCTTTATGTCATTCTGGGAGCTAGAGTGCCGATACAAGGCAAAAAAACCTGTCTCTTAAAGCATCCTGTCTTTATCCTGAATTGTACAAGTCGGTAAATCGATCAGAATTTCTAGGACCAAGCCGGTTTGACTCTGGCATGGTGTTGGATTTAAATCGAAGCCAGCACCATGCTAGAGTCATGTCTCGATTAACAGACTTGTGCCTGTCTTCATGAGTCAAGTTATGTTTATGTGACTCTTTAATTGCTCATAATCATAAATAAACGGCAGCATTCACAATGATAGTATTGTTATCTGTTAATGATTAAAATGCTCACGTGCGTCTAATTGAACACAATCAATTCTGATAAAAGCTATCAATACTCAACAAATATCAAAATTCTTTCAATTGCTCATTTGATACACATCACGAGCTATTGTTAAGTTAAAGTTAAACTTTTTTCATTCATTAAAGCAATTATGACTGAATCTAAAAAATCAGAAACTCAAAACTCTCCAAAAACCTATAAAAAATTCAAAGCTAAAGACATCAACAGTGAAAACTTAATTGAATACGCAATCAGAGACTTACAACCAAGTCAATATGATGCAGCTATTAAAATCATTTATGACACAATCAGAGATGAGCCACTGTCAGTGAGTAGAAGAATTTTCGACTATGAACAGACAATTAAGGCTAAGAAAATAGTTTGGAGGAACATGCTAAATAAAGGCTTGTCAATTGGATGTTTTACAGAAAGTGGAGAACTTATTGGATTGAATGTGTTGTCAATTGCAGATAAAAATGAAGAAATCAAAATTGAGGTCAGTAATTTTGTATGAGTGAATTTAGAACTTTTTATTTGCAAGTTTACAAGCTAGTTAAAGGTTAATTAGCCCCATTCGTCCCTCTTGCAAGGTAAGACTTCCAATTACTGACTTATTTCGCTGGTCAAACAGATCCATGTTCTTCCATAGACATATCTTGAAGCTGACTCTATTGGTAGCTCCCTTCTTTATTAAATGCAGTAGTGTGCTTTCAACAGCTCCCTTTCTTGAGGTTCTGAACTTCCTCATTTTTTCACAAGATTCCTTTTCCTTTTCCTGGTAATTAATTATTGACTAATCGCAATCTAAATTCAAAATTACAGACGACCGACAAGAACATCATCGACTCGTTTAAACTCATGATATACACAAACAACGAAGCTGATATATTCGGTAAATACAACATCGACAAATACTTAACAAGCATGGGACTATGTGTGAACCCAGACTACCGGCTTAGAGGAATAGCAACAGAACTTCTCAAAGTCAGACCACAAATTATGAAGAATTTAGACTTGACAGTCAGTGTGACGACATTTACATCACTTGGATCACAGACTGCAGCTAAAAATGCTGGATTTGAGGATGTTTATGTGATTAGGTATGATCAATTAAGCAAGGTGTCGCCAAATTTGGATTTTGTCAATGGAATTTCAGATTATTACAAAATTATGGCATTGAGAATTTAGAATATATTGTTGGTCTTTGACTGTTGAACAGGAGGTGCGTACGGCGTAAAGGGTGAGGATTAAATCTCATTAGCCTCCTGAAGACATCAATCTTAAATTAATTCTTTATAATCATTCCACAATCCGCATACATGAACTATAAATACTTTCAATTAACATTGACGTAGGTCGCGTTTACTAAAACAATTTGTTTATGTTTGATTTTCTAATATGTAAATAAGTTGACCTTGAGACTAAGATTAATACAGCATGTAGTAATCAACATGTAGTTGCACATCACACAGTAACAATTTTCTATTTATATTGTAAACTTTACATTCGAATTCATGCATGAAAGTGAATAAAAATCAATTAAATGAATCTAATGCAGTTGCATTTTTGCTAGTTTGTTGACAAGTTGCAACACATTTACAAAAAAAATTCAATATTCACGCTTAATTTGCATTAACAAGCTTCACAAAAATGTCAACTTATTTCACATTACAAGCCCAAAACAACAAATCCAACAAAATCATCGAATATCGCATCCAAGACTTACCAGACGATCGATTCTTAGAAGCTATAAATTTATTTTGTGAAGATTTTCTGCCAGACGAGCCAATGACATCGAGTAGGAATTTGCACGGAAATGAAAACGGCAAAAAGGAAATCTGCAACATTTGGATGGATATAATGAAACAACGGCTGAGTATTGCTTGCTTTAGGAATGATGGAGGTGGCGATGAGACTGTGGGGTGATGCTTTGACTGTGGCAATGAATTTCAGACTTAATTAGTATCTGAGATTGGGTTTTGATGAACTTAGTTGAAAGTCTAGGTATGACTAGTGGCTAAGCCTAATGGAAAATGACGGAAATATATTTAAATTAGAGATCCAAAAATTAAATTACCAAAAACACCTCAACAATAAAAAAACATAAATTTAAAGATTAAGATTCACCAGATATCCACATACCTTTTATCATCTCAAGCATGTACAATCGTGTCAACTTTTTGCTTCCATACACCAAACACAAGACCCACATTTGATGCGTCCAAACACACGCTACACAAATAATATCGAAAGAAGGAGGGAATGTGAATATAATAAGAATCAAATTGAGATCAGAAAGGACCATGAATTGGTACTTAAGTTGTTTATTGCGGTTGACACATATTCAAATGTTTTTTCCTTTGTGATTTTTTCTTTCCTTTTGTAAGCTTAAATCCGCACATTTTTGTGACATTTACATTTGCCTACTTCTTTTGGTGCTCTTGTGTCCTTTCGGGGAAGTTGAAGTTCTTTTTGGACGCATTTTTTATGAGGGAAGAGTCGCTGTTGTCTTTATTTTGTCTATTTGCCAAATGCTTCTGATTTATTGTCAAAATGCTGATCTTTTAGACCCTAATAGACTTTTTCATCTTAAAAAATGCGCTTTATACCCTCATCACCGATGACTCCACAACTTGCACGACTTCCTCAACTCATATAAGCATAAAAAGAAATATAATTTTTCTTAGTTCGGTATGGAGATTTTAACTTCAACTGGGGCTAAATACGAAAGGTTATTGAGATTAGATTAAATTTTTTTTCATGCCTTTCAAGTTTTTCTTTTGCCTCTGCACTCATATTTTCGATTGTTAAAAAAGGCAAGGAAATTGAGAAATTTGAGAAGAATAGCCACAGGATTTTTTTTTTCATTTTTCATCTCCGTTTTAATTTAACTTTCTTCTGGCTGTGAAAGGGATAACTTTTGTATGATTGAAATCAATTTGTAGGTGAATGATGGGAATTGAAAGGAATTGATTGAATATTGTCATGGTTAAGGTTGATTTTTTGACACTTTTTTATTTGATCCTTTTTTTGGAACAGTTTGATAAACTTTTCAATTATTGCAGCTAAAGTTTCCCTTTCATGATATTGTTATAAAAGAAATGGCTTGGAAACCGCTGAATTCCAGTGGTGGACAACCTTTTTTATGTCATGGCACCAGAGGCGTAGCCAAAAATTTGAAGAGGGGGGCAATAATGTGGAAAATTTAAGGGTGGAAGGTGATTTGCTAGAATTTTTCGAAAAAATTCCAGCAATATGAGGAATTTCTGTTAACGAAGGGGGATTTTACATCAGAATTCAACCCCTCCCCCCCTGCCACCCATTCCCTGGCTCCTCGCCTGCATGACACATCTTTTTTGGTAATGACGAATTTTTAATCACTGCCCCACCCCAACCTGGTGACTTTATTTCAAGCTTCAGGATAGATTCAAGTTTTCCCAAAGTGCAGAGCTCTGGAACTAAAGCATCAAAATAGACAATTCTGATTTAATTTTTGCACAGTTATTTATTTTATTGCGAAATTATAAATTTATGCTTTAACAAAAATATTTAATTCAACAGAATATTAAGTTTTTTTTTACATTTTTTTTATTATATTTTTTTAAAATATTTTTTTATGCAATTTTTGCAATGATTTTGAAATTGAAGAATAAATTAATTATCAGTTCTCAAATAAAAATAAAATTTGTCAATAATATTAAATAATTTTTGCACATGAATTTTCCATCTATCATTCCATCTAATTTAAATCTTACTCCTAGGAATTTTACATTTACAATTTTTATTTAAAAATAAATTAAATTAAATCACAGAATGAATTAAAATTGCAGGAAAAAATATATTCTTTTTAATAAATTATCATTGCACTGATTATAGCTTTAATCAAGTCTTAAACTAAAAGTTTACAATTTTGAGAGTATTAGCTTTGAAATTCTTGACTTTTTGGTCTGGTAGGATTAGGGATAAGGTTTGGCATCGAATAATTTCTTATCTTATAATACTTGGAGTTCATTTTGCATTCAAAATCAAACATTTTACTGGTAATGGCAATGAATTTTCATCAAACTTGAACAAAAGCAGTACCATACAGTCTTTAAGCTTGGAATATTCACCTCTTGTGCCTTCTCTGATTTCTTCTTCCTCAAACTAAGTCAAAACATATTTTAAACAAAACTATCGAATACTTTCTTTGGTATTTAAGCATTAAATTATCAAAAATTTACATCAATAACCGCTAATTTATTTTTACTTAATTACCTTTGTTTTGGCGAAGGCTGTGGTTCCATATAATTTTTAATCTTAATCTAAATAATCCTTTTTTTTTGAACATCTTTTTTTCAGATTCTAATCTGAATAATCCTAATTTTCTACATTACAATCTAATTTAAGGAACCAAAAATGGTGAAAATTATATATAAAATTTACAAATAAATTATGTTTTGGGTTCTTAAAGTTCTAAATTGGTTAAAATCATTACACATTTTGACATTTTTTTACAATATTTTTATTACTTTGAAACTAAACCTTCTTGAACCTTTTTTTAATAAAATTAAAATGTTTAAAAAGATTAAAAATGTCCAAAAATAAAAATGTTTAAAAACTCTCAAAGGTTTTCAAAAAAAATTTAAAATACGTTCAATTAATTGAAAAAAATGTTCAATATTTTCAAAACGTACCAAAAATAAAAAAAAAATCAATAAAGTATTTTGAAATTGTTTAAAAAAATTCAAAATTATTTTTTAAAATCTTGAAAAATTAAAATGTTTCAATTTACAAAATAAGGTCGATTTGTTATTTTTAAATAATTTTTTAATCCCTATTATAATATTGAAGCCTCTCAATAACCATCTTAAATCCATAATTCTAAATTACGAATATAATTTCATAGAATATTTCTAAATATTATTTTTTTTCCTTTATTTTATGTATAAATACTTTTATTTTCATATCCATATATTTCTTGTAAATTTTATACTTCAATAAACCTGAAAATGTCTACGTAAAGAATTCCATTTTTTATGATAATTAAATTTTTTTTATTAGTGTAGATTTGAAGGTAGAATTGTTATCGTTTAGATTTTAAATTCCCTGAATTTGTTGCAATTAAAATATTTTAAATTATTAGGAATAAATCTACAAACTGAGCTGTTTGGGTGAAGGTGGAGTTTTGAGGTGAATGAGTATCGGTTTTCGCGCCAAAAATCAGAACAATTTCCTGAGTTACCAAAATTTTGATTTTTCATGCAAAAAATTCATAGGACATAGTCACCTTATATCCTAAGTTTCACTATTTTGTATCTATACTATATTTCAGGTTAGTTTCTTATTCATTTGACTTAAAACACACTCAACCCCACTCCATACCATACTTCTTTGACTAGAAATTCACTCACATCTTTAATATTTCACATGTTTTTGCACATATTTCCCACCTCATCAATATTATTCACAAAAATTTTCGCCTCATCATTTCATAAAATTATCTATTGCACTTTTCTCTCCCAAATGCCTCTGCTTCAGCTTCATAAACATCGTTGCTGCATCGTCAAGCTCCTCAAACTCATCAGTTGATAAATTTGATCGTGGTGTGTGCATTGACAAATCCTCAGGCTCTGTTTGTTCAGGAATTTGCAGTGGAAGTCCAAGAAAATTTGGAAAATTACAAAACTTTTTAAATTGCTGCGTCTTTTCCGATTGAGATAAACTTATTGTTGCTGATGGAAGTTCCAGTGACTCATCACTGTCATCATCAATTGGATTTTCATTCAAAACTCCACATTTGTGGTTTATCAGGTGGTTCCGTTTACGGAATCGAACATTGCACTTTTCACATTCGAAAGGCTTGTCAGTTTGGTGAGCCAAGACATGAGCTTTGAGCTGATTTGAATCACTGAACTTGGCTTCACAGACTTCACAGGTGTATGGGCGTTCGCCTGTATGAACACGAAGATGACGACGAAGGTTGGCGACTTGAACGAATTGACGATCGCAGTGGGAGCAGCTGTGGGGTTAAAAACATAAATTTATGAGGTTAGATTGAGTGTAGAAGAAGAAAAAATAATTTTTAAAGTTATGGTTTTATGATTATTTGAGGTTAAGGCTGATAAAACACTTGCCTGTAAGGTTTCTCGCCTGTATGTAATCTCATGTGGGTCTTCAAGTGATGATCCCTTGTAAATCTCTTGTGACACTCTGAGCATTCTGTTAATATGTAAAAATTAGTTTTCTTGTGCCAGTCACGTTCGTAGGTTACTTACCAAATGGTTTCTCTCCAGTGTGGGTGCGCTCATGATTCTGCAGCACATGCTTATATCCAAACGACCGATTACAAATCTGACAAGTAAAGACTTTTTCCTGCTATGGATAAAAATAGAAATAAATAAGTAAAATTTCCAAAAATAACTCATGAATCCGCAGACTCAAAACCCAAAACCAAAAACTCACCTTAGTCGTTTCCTTTGAATTGCTCGAACACGTACTAATTTCAGAATTTGATTCCGTTGGCGATAAAATTGTTGGAACAAATTTGTCATTGATCTTCAATGGTTCCAATTTCCTTATATTTTCCGGTTGCTGTTTCCTCTTTGCAATCTTTTTCTGTGCCGGCAAGTCCGACGTCGTCGATACAATTTGTGAATCACTATTTTGATTTTTAAAAACTTTATTTAATTTTGATAAATCCGGAGGTGACCAATTCATGAGTGGATGATTCGGAAGACGAATTGCTGATGCAAGTTGAGCTCGTAATTGTATTGGCCATGTCATGAGGGCAACGGCTGCGGCTGTTTGATTTGCTAGAAATTGTGGTGAAAACATTGTTAATGGTGATGGATTTGATTGATTGAAGCAGTTGAAGATGTCGAGATTTGGTGTTGCTGGTGGGGATGGTTCGTCTTTTACTTTGCGTTTTCGAGATAATTCGTCCATTTCTAGGGTAAAAATGAGATAAAAGGATGTTTTTAGAGATCAGTTGTGATAATTGCTCTGAAGTTTTTGAAAATTTTCGGGTTTAGTTTAAGTTAAATAAGCTTTTGAGGGATTTACGAGTTTGCATCTATATTCGCTATAAGCTATGGTTTTTTGTTATGATTACAAGTATGGTATTCTCGGCTTGTACACGCAATTCCAAAAAAAATTAAATATTCAAAAAAAAAATAAAATTCCATAGCCAAACTTCAGACAAAGCAAAATAAAATGAAACAAAAGACAATTGGCAGCAATGGCTTCTGAGTGTAGGTTAGGTGAATTCGGAAAATGTAATGTAATTTAGTAGAAGAAGTAAAGACACACAGCAGACATCGGGGAGTAAGAAGAAAGGAAGAAAATCACTCAAAATGTTGCATTGAATTTGTTTTATTTCTTCTATTTAATATAACATGCATAAATGACACTAAAGTGAATAAATGGGCAATAAGTGAGCTCTGAGTTAGATTCAACTAGGTTTGTGGAACTGATAAATTGGATTTTAATCATTTTTGGATATGCTGATCATAGATTTTTGCAGATTTATGGCCAAAAAGCTGGGCATATCCTGATTTCAAATATGAAAAGAAGCGATCAACCAAATTTTGAAGCATTTTCCATCAGCCTGTTTTTGATTCAACTTAATTTTGGAAAATTTTAAGGAACAAGTCAAAAATTCCAGAACAAAACCAAAAAAAACTGTCCGAAAATTTGAATTTATGCAAAAAAAATTCAAGAACACGACAAAAAAATCATCACCCCTCAAAAAACCAAAGCAGCACTCTCAACAGCACCGACAGATGTGAAAACCACGTGTGTAAAAAAAAATTGAGAAAAAAATCAGAGCAAATTTATAAAAAAAAAGGAAATAAAAAAAACTCTCTCGAATGAAAAAATATCAAAAACTCATGTATGAGAAGAGTTGTAAACAGAGCGAGAAAAAAAGGAATCAAAAAAAGGGGAAATGAGAGAATTCACATACGAATGAGAAAACATATTTTTTATTATGTAGTGTGAAGTGTGTGGAAAATCACATGTCGTGGATTATGTTGTGTATTTTTACGGCTTTTTGGAAATCAAAACATGTGGAAAAAAATTGCGTGAAAGAATTTATTTTTGTGGGAAAAAAATTGAGGGAAATTTTGAGGAATTTTTAAATAATATTTAAGTGTTTTTTAAAACAAACCAATATTTTTTCATTTACACTTTTTATGAATTCAACTTTTGATATTTCAATTAAAATGAAATTTTTTTTATTTTTTGAAACAATGAATTTTTTGAATTTATATTATTTAAAATTTATTTTGATCTTAATTTTTCCAGTTTCAATTTTAATTTTTAAAAATAAATCATTTACTTTTTAATTTAAATTTCTATCTTATCTTTATTATTTCAATTTTTCTTATTTTTCCTTACAAAATTCAAATAAAAAAATTCTCCCTTTTTCACATAAAATTTTCCTCCTATCGCCTCCTATCGCCATTAACAATTTCAATCCATTCACCCTCAAACTCATTAACACAATCAAGTAATTTTGTACAACAACAACAACATGCAGCACAAGGAGTAAATGAAACAAAAGGGAGAAAAGACAACAGACACAAAAATGGCGACAGCAAAAAAAAAATAATTAAAAAAAAGTCGTGGGATTGTCGCAATAGCACCGACGAATGAGTTGAATGAAGGATTTTGTGTACTTTTTTGTGTCTGTTGGGCAGAAAGAGATGGAAGATAATTAGAATACTTTAGAAAATGGACATGCGGAGCAGCGAGAGGAATTGGACAATTTATGATTAACATGGACAATTTTTTTTGTTGAAATAAATTATTTAAAAATTAAAACAATTCAAAACTTAAAAGAAAAAAGTTTTTGTTTGAAAAAATTTAAGAAAAAATTAACTTAAAAGTTTAAAAATTATTTTATTCTAATTCAAAAATTGTCAAAATAATTTAAAAAACCAAATTTTGTCGATTCAAAAAGTAAAATTTAAAAATAATTTCATTTTCAATTAACAACTCCAACTTATTAGCAAAGCTTAATTACCACAAAAACTACCTTCACGATTTATTCAATTTCAGCCTGAAGGAACACTAACCTTTGCCAAATTCCTCAACTTAAGTTACCAAACTTAACTAAATTTTGAGTTTAAAGTTTAAAGTTTTAAGCCATTAAGGTTGGAAAAATACATTAAATGGGACAATTTTGGAATTTTATTACTTTTTTAATCACGACTTATTTTTTAATAACCCTTAAATCCTTCAGAAACTAAAGCTGTCGTGACTATAAAGAAGGAATTGTTTTCCCAGGTTTTTGTCATTTCCTAAAAGTTTAAAGACTTTCGTTGGACTTAATGTAGTTTTTACTGTATATGGTCAGTAAATTGAGCCACAACTCACAAATTAAGGTGTTCAAATCAATGTTAAATATAGAAGTTGTTGAAATTTTTATCATTCTTACTAATTTCAAGGCTTTAACTGTAGCTAAAGCTACTAAACTAGCACAGAGCTTTTAAATTTAGTTCAATCAAAAAGGCAATCAAAAAAGCAATAAAAAACTTGAAAGGCACACGGTGTTAAAATGACTGTCAATCTAGCGTACAGTACGGCACGTGAACTTTACTAAATTTGACGTATTGCTCCGTTAGTGCCGTTTTGGATGATAGATTGACAGCCATTTTTGCTCCGTGTGCCTTTCAAGAAAGATAGAAGACCATATCTAAGTTCCTTAAAGAACCAAGTAAGTCTGCTTGGGTCATATCGACGATTAAATCCTCTTTAGCCAATTTATATCAAACATTCTAAATATAACTTAATTATAATCATAACCATAAACATCGTACTCGAATGGAACGCTTAAAAATCCATGACGGAGCTGATGTAATGCCAGTTTGAGTTCCAATCAGGCTCCAAGTTGACATTATGCCCGTCTTAAGATACATTACTTTTATTGTATTATTTATAGAGTCTTCAATAATTTTGAATAATTTTTTGTTATATTTCCAATATCGACTCACCTTTAAGTAGCGCTGATCCCTGTAAAGTAGGTGAAGTCATTTTCTGCCCAATCCGATTTCACAATTTTCTCTGTCTGTGCTTTTCCGCTTACTTCTCACTTAATCAATTCCTCAATCAATTCAAAAATCTGAACTAACCATCCTCAACATTATTAATGAATTTTTCAAAAAGTATTTTTTTTTATGTCCTCGTCGTGAGCAATTTATCAACAAAAAATATTTTTATTTTATTTTCATTGAGCTTTTTTATGTCACTTTTTTTTGTTTTTATTGTTTTGCACTTGTACTTTGATTTGGTTTTTTTCTTTGTTACTGTTTTGGATGAGTGCTGGAAATAAAAAAAAAATTGTGAATATTTTAAAGATTATTTTAAAAGTGTTTTAGTAAGATGATCGGATTGCAACACTTAAAAAATGTTGAATAATTAAAAGAAGTAATTTTATTAAAAATTTGGGTTTTATATACGTTTTTAGATTGCAGAATTAAATGATAAATTCAAAAATTAGAAATAATAATTTTTTAATTAAGTAGGAGTCAGTTGTCAACATTCTCTAATACCAAGAACTACTTTTTTAGTATTTATTAAGTAAATTTAAAGTTTAAATTTAAGTTTAAATTAAATTAAGATAAAATGAAGAATATTTCAAAAATATTTCAATTTTTCAATTTTTAAAACCAAATTAACTTGACCAAAATTTTTAAAAAATTGAAAAAAAAAACTTAAAAAGTAATAAAAAAAGAAATTCACTTACTTTTATAATTTCTAAATTCTGTAAATATTTTAAATAATTTCCTTTATTTTTTTTAAATATCACTTTTGATTTTTATTTATTTATTCAATTTTTATAACTTCAAATATTTTTTTCAAACTCTGTCCATTTCAAAATTTCCACAATTTCACTTCCTCAAAAATTTAAAATTCACTAGAACGTCTTTTTGTCCCCAAAAATAAAGCAGGAACTCCGAAGCCGAAAAAAAATTTCCATCCGATCACATCGCCGTCCAAAATAATTCTAATCGCTCTCCGGCCTGATTGTCATGAACAGTGAACGGATTGTCTGTTGTAAAAAAGCAAATTTGTGTATATTTTCGCCGTGCCTCATCAACATCCCTCTCACCCTTCTCGATTCCCGTAAAAATAAAAAAAATGGTATATTCAGTGGGGTTTCATTACGCGAACCGACGTGCATTTACGCACTAAGATTAATGCAAACAAGTGTTGTCGTTTTTACTCTGTGTATTGGAACTGACTCTCTCAATTTTTATTGAGAGACATTCTCACTGAGAGGAGTCGCTGACCTTCCACAACACGTGGCAATTCCTTTATTTCTCTCTTAAGGATTCTCACTCAATCGAATTTCATTTTACAGTCACGCATGCGGATTGATTTATTTTGAATTGCTGTCTCTGTCGGGCACACATCATCGGCATAGTCGTATTGTAAACATTGAGAATCTTGTGGATGTAGCGTGACAATTGAAAGTGAAATTTTTACTCGCGACTTTTTCTTTGTGTTTTTTTTTATTTTTTGGTGAATGAAGATTGAAGCTACACATAAAAATTGTGCATACGAGAATGTGAGGATGAGTAAATGTTACGATAATGAAGTTTTGCTTGCTGTTTCCTTTTCGATTCTTCTTGTTGCTGATGATGTGGATTTTGTTGTTGTTGATGCTTTGATTGGTGGCATGATGTGTGATTTGAAGGTTGGATTTGATGATTTTTATGTTGATTATAGGCTTTAAATGATTAAGTTTTTGAGCTAAAAAGATGATATTTGTGCACAAATAAAAATTCAATAATTATTGCAAAGGTTGCAGTAATTTTCGATTTAGATTTTGGGCTTCAAATGATTAAGTTTTTGAGCTGAAAAGTTCAAATTTGTGGCCAAATAAAAATTCAATAATTATTGCAAAGGTTGCAGTAATTTTCGATTTAGATTTTGAGCTTCAAATGATTAAGTTTTTGAGCTGAAAAGTTCAAATTTGTGCACAAATAAAAATTCAAAAATTATTGCAAAGGTTGCAGTACTTTTCGATTTAGATTTTGGGCTTTAAATGATTAAGTTTTTGAGCCGAAAAGTTCAAATTTGTGCACAAATAAAAATTCAATAATTATTGCAAAGGTTGCAGTAATTTTCGATTTAAATTTTGGGCTTTAAATGATTAAGTTTTGGAGCTGAAAAGTTCAAATTTGTGGCCAAATAAAAATTCAATAATTATTGCGAAGGTTGCAGTAATTTTCGATTTAGATTTTGAGCTTCAAATGATTAAGTTTTTGAGCTGAAAAGTTCAAATTTGTGCACAAATAAAAATTCAAAAATTATTGCAAAGGTTGCAGTAATTTTCGATTTAGATTTTGGGCTTTAAATGATTAAGTTTAGGAGCTGAAAAGTTCAAATTTGTGTCCAAATAAAAATTCAATAATTATTGCAAAGGTTGCAGTAATTTTCGATTTAGATTTTGGGCTTTAAATGATTAAGTTTTGGATCTGAAAAGTTCAAATTTGTGTCCAAATAAAAATTCAATATTTATTGCAAAGGTTGCAGTAATTTTTGATTTAGATTTTTAGCTTTAAATGATTAAGTTTTTGAGCTGAAAAGTTCAAATTTGTGTCCAAATAAAAATTTAATAATTATTGCAAAGGTTGCAGTAATTTTCGATTTAGATTTTGGGCTTTAAATGATTAAGTTTTGGATCTGAAAAGTTCAAATTTGTGTCCAAATAAAAATTCAATAATTATTGCAAAGGTTGCAGTAATTTTCGATTTAGATTTTGAGCTTCAAATAATTAAGTTTTGGAGCTGAAAAATTCAAATTTGTGACCAAATAAAAATTTAAAAATTACTGAAAAGTTTGCAATAATAACAAAAATCTATTCAATCTTTAAAAAACGTGGTAATAACTCTAAAAAACCAAAAAAATAATTTCTGGGCGGAGTTTTCTCCAAAAATCATTTTATTCAATTTCACCCGTTACTCTTCTTGTCCTCTTCCACCCTTCATTCATTCCTATCCACCAGCCTCGCAATTAAATCAGTAAAAAAAAAATATTTTTTGTGTAAACACGTAACGGAACAGAAAGAGAAACGAAAGGGTTGAGAGACGAGAAAGCAGCCATTGCGCAGATGATGATATTGTTGATGGCCAACGTGCGTAGTCGTCAACGAAAGGGTCAGCATTGCATCGGTGTGTATGATTGTTGAAAAGAGTAAAAGTGAAAGAGCGAGAAGGAATGATTTTTTTTATGGGCCCAGAAAAGTGGTCGTGTTGCGTGCTTTGTAGTGGACAGGAGGATTATGTGATGGAATTTGGTAAGGTTAGGGGTGAGTTGGGATGAAAATGTTTTATGTTTTCTGATGTTTTAAACTTGATCTGACTAGAATCTTTGTTCATTTTGATGATTTTAGCTTAAATGACACAAGAAGACGCCTAAAATTCATTGAAAACTGCCATCCTACTGCAGGTACTCTCTTTAATACAAACAACTAATCAAATCAACCCAATTTCTGATTTCTGCATCTAATTACTAATCAAACCTTATCAAATATTGACCCTTCTTAATCAATTACTCCCAATTAGCATTGAACCCCTCTAAACCTTACCAATTAACCTCCTATCCTCTACAAATCATCCACATCCCCTTCCTCATAGCCTCAAAAAATTATTTAAATCCAACATTCGTATCTCCTCAAAACAATCTTCAAATTTCCTTTCATCTCTCCATTGTTATTTGTGATTATATTCATGAAGACTTTCCCATTCAGAAAGAAAAAAAAAGTTGAATTTATTATTTAAATTTATTCTAAACAAAATATATATATTGGAATGGATGAGAAGACGGAAGATACATAAATGTCTTATCGAATAATTGCTTAATGAGGACACAAAATTTGAAATTTTGATTTAATCATATAATCAATTTATTATGAATCTATAAGAATAACAAATGAGAATATCGGATGTGGATATGGAAGTGGATGATATTGAGGTTTGGTGGTTGAATTTTGACAAGGAGTTGGGTGGTTGGTTGGCTGGGGTCTTCATACAGACCAGATCTAAATGACCCGGAATGACCATTTTTAGTTAAATTCTTGATGATCTGACAACACCAGACCTTAAATGATCATTAGCAACCAAAAAGATGCCCCCTCATCCACCTCATGACCCCCTGACATCCAATCACATCCCCCACCCTTCCTAAAAATGATATTTGATCCGAAAAACTGAAATAAGATTGAAGAACAGTACACAAAACAAAAGATGAAGATGAGGATAAAAAGTCACGAGAGATGAAGAGAAGGGGAAGTAAAAGTGGATTGTGGATAGGAAAGGAAAGACACGATGCATAATAATCAGCAGCCACATATTCAATGCGATTGAATGAGTAAATAAATGAGACGATAGCGATGGTAAATGAGAATTCTTAATAAAATAATCATACGCAATGTCCTCGACATGCTGAATTGTAATGATAATCAGGGGGGGAAATGTTGAAAGAATTTTACATAATTTTTGGCTCATTTTTTATTTAGAAAACTAAAATTTTAATCTACTTGCAACTTTTTCATATATAAATGATAATTGATGTGCTTGATGAAATTAGTTCTGGCATTAATGACGCGTCCGCAAAGATCGCATTCATATGGAGCAATTGGATGACAATTAATCATGTGACATCTCAAAGCTTGCTTGTTCCTTAAAACTGCTGGACATTTTTCACAATTTATTGGATTTTTAATTTGTGCTGCCTTTTTGTCCTTCAACTCGTGGCTTTTCTGATGTCTTTTAAAATATATTTTATTATCAGTAGAGAAGTTGCATCTTAAGCATTTCAAAGACTTCGTTGACTTTTCTTCATGATTTCTTTGATGACATTTTAATCTTTGTTTTGTCAAAAATTTCATTCCACAAAGTTCACACTCCAATACTTTAAAATCTCTCTGTTGATGTCCTTGTTCGTGTTTATTTCTACGAGCTTTTAGTGCAAATTTCTTACCACATGTGCTGCATTCATGTGGCTTGTTATGACTTGATATATGATTTTTTAAACTATCATTTGTTCTGAATTTCTTGTCACAAATTTTACATTGAAAGTTCCTTTCTGTTGCATGACTTAAAATATGTCCCTTAAATGTATATGATCGCAACTTTTTGTTGCAAATTTTACATTCTGTGTAGTGTATTAAATGTCTTATGGTCATGTGAAATTGAATCTTATGTTTTTTAAAAAATTGCCTGCCACACAAATCACAGGAATAAATTTTTTTAGGTCTTGGAGCCGTTCGTTTTACGTTTTTTGTTTTCCTGGGTCTTTTAGGCTTTGGTGTTGTTTTCAGGCTGTGTTGTGGCTTTTGGTTCATTTTGTCACTGGAACATAAAGTTGCTGGATCAAGACTTTCCGTCTCGTTGGTTTTCTGACTCAATTTTTGACGGCTTTCATTAAAATATGAAGGTTTTGGAAGTTTGTCTTCTTTATCGTGGACTCGCAAATGTTTAAAGTACCAAGCTTTATATTTGAAGCTCTTTGGACACAATTTGCAATTTACTTTCTGTTGTGGTTTTATTATTGGAACCTTCTCGTCCTCGTTTTTAATATTTTCAACCTTTATAACTGGTTTTGAACAGATTTGTTGAAATTCTTTGATTTCTAATTTTATTGAATATTGCTCCTCACTTTCTAGTTTTATTGACATTTTCAATTAAAGTTATTTAATGATGTTTTTACACTGATTGATTGATGTTCTGTATTATTTTATTTTATATTGAAAAAGTTTGTAAGATTTTTTAAGAACTTTTGAGATTTTTTTAGGTAAATCAAAGATTGATTATTTTGAGATTTACAACAAAACTTTGGGATTCGACTAATTTATATTTTCAAATATTTTGGTTTAATATCCAGCAATGAGTGTTATCCTTGCTGCATTACCCTTTTTCAAATATCACAACTTTTAATCGAATCTAGCATCATGTCAGAGTCATGCCGGCTTGGTGCTGGATTTCCATTTGACTGTGCTATTCAGGTTTAATTAAATTTAAATTCGATTTTTTAAAATTGTTAATTAATGTTCAAGTCAATCTAAGGCTAGGTAAGTTAAATCATGAAAAGAGCCCAGCTATTTAAGTTGGAGTCGATGTTATTCAAATTAGAACAGAATCTATTGTTCCACACCCTTTAGACCTACAGTTTAAAGTGGAATCCGAAACACTTGCAAGCTCCGAACATTTCAAAGACACGAGCACGTCTTTAGACCTAATTCAACCCGCAGTGTACCTCGTGTGCAAAGGTGCTGTTATGAAATCATCCAGATGCTAGTATATCTAGCAAATGAGACACGTTATGTGCTGAAGAACTCAATACTACGCTCAACACACGAACCGAGAACGGTGAAAAAGGAAAAATAGCTTTGAAAACTTGATATGGCATGTAATCGAACCGAGAACCTTTGGCACGCCTCCTCAAGTCAATCTTACTAGGTCATGCTATTTGAGTTCTCTCCGAAATTATTAATCGAGTCCAAAAGTTCTTGTTACTTATAAAATTGTTTAAAGGGGGCAGCAAAGATTCCTGAATTCTTAAACATTTAATACGTGCTCTGCCTTGTGATTCAATTTTTGTCAGTTCCATTAGCAAGAAATTAAAAATTTCACCATTTGAATGTCTCACGACAGTTTGAAGTGTATTTTTTCCATAAATGTCAACCGTTTTGAGAAATAAGACTTAATTTAGTAGCAGCCAATAATTTTGATAATATTTTTAATCTACTTGCAACTTTTTCATGTTTAAATGATAATTGATGTGCTTGATGAAATTAGTTCTGGCATTAATGACGCGTCCGCAAAGATCACATTCATATGGAGCAATTGGATGACAATTGATCATGTGACATCTCAAAGCTTGCTTGTTCCTTAAAACTGCTGGACATTTTTCACAATTTATTGGATTTTTAATTTGTGCTGCCTTTTTGTCCTTCAACTCGTGGTTTTTCTGATGTTTTAAAAAATTTCTTTTATTATCAGTAGAGAAGTTGCATCTTAAGCATTTCAAAGACTTTGTTGACTTTTCTTTATGGTTTTTTTGATGCCTGTTTAGATGATTTAAATACTTAAATCTCATTCCACAAAATTTACATTCCAAGACTGTTGAATCCTTTTTTTGGTGTATTTGTTCATGATTAATTAAACTTTTCTTTTTGGCAAATTTATTACCACAAGTTCTACATTCAAACTGTTTATTGTGAGTTTTCAGATGAGTTTTGACATCGTTTGGTGCTTTAAACTTTTTATCACACACTTTACATTTGAAATTCTTTTCAGTCATATGAGATATGAGGTGTAAATTATATCCACCATAACGTAATTTTTTATTACAAATTGGACATTCCGAAAAAAACATGTGACCTGTTTTGATGTGCGATACTATCTGTTGCTTTGTTTGCCATTGTTTGCCGCATAAATCACATGAGAAATTGTTTTCAGATGACTTTTTATGTTTTAGTGATTTAATGGGGACAATTTTTGGTAGCTTACCATCTACTTTATGATCTTTCAAATGCTTGTTATAGTTATTCTTTGTCTTGTACTTGCGGTTGCAATATTCACATTTGATTTTAGTTTTTCGAGGAATGAACTCAATTTTTACAATTTTTGGTTTGTCATTTTTAACAATTTCTCCACTTTCAACTTCGATTAGTAGATTTGGATGTTTTTGTGGCAGTTTTTCACCTTTCAGCTCCACAGTAAGTTCCTGTTCAGTCTCAAATTTAATTATCATCATGTTTTTTTCAAGAATTATTGTTGATGTTCTGGAAGTTACTGCAGTAAAATAAAGACTGAAAAAATGACGATACCACCTTTTGAGAAGAATTGTTGATGTTTTGAGGTGCAAACATGATCAAAAGTTTCCCAAGTAAGCAATTTTGATTTATTTTGAAATTTTGTTGAAAGTTTCAGGCCATCGTCATCCATATCCAACGATTAGACGAGATGAGGGTCCATCGTTTAGTGATAGAGAGAGGGGTGAAGTTGGTGGTGTAAGAACTCTGTCCTTTGATGCTCATCGTAAATGATTAACACTCTTATCAAACTTTTCTAATGGTTGAGCTTAACCTCAAAACAAAATAGTAAAGCTTTGAAACCTGGTCTCTTAAATCAAAGCTCTAAGCCTCACAAATCCCTTCCTTGTCTTTCCATCCAATACTTGGCTTCGTTAGGGGTTGTTCACTTATTATGTGATGCTTTAAGGGTAAAGGGGTCTAAGGTTTTGTGACAGTTCAAAGGAGTTTCGCCTTACGTAATAAGTTACTTCCTTACTAATTGCGACCTTGTTCTTAACTGGATCTTAGACTACAACAATAGGCTTTCTCTGTTGCTGTCTCTGTCACCTAGTTTGTGCAACTTCTTTGTCCACATATTAAGCTGACATTCTTTGATTACTGTAATTACTATAATAAGTTAAGTTACCCCTAAGCAAATGATTTACAATTAAGTACTACCAAATACTTTATTCCTAAATTTAAATATGAATTGCTTTTCCATTCGCATTAAATTCTTCAAAAAATTGACCTCAATACGATTAAATTTCTTTCCCCTCACATCCTAACATCCAACAAAATTCTTTACGATCATCATCATCAGGAAAATATTTAGCCATTGGCCATAATAATGAACGCATTCTATGATTCTTACACTTCCGTCTTGTGTCGAGTTTCCTCAATTTTCTGCGTGTCGTGTGAAACAAGAGAGAACAAAAAAAGTTAATTTAGTTTTCGCGTCATTATGTAAATTTTCAACTTTCATTTTAGCGCTTTTGATGACAGAAAGAATTTTTTTGCTTCGCGTGTTTTTTGTGGTTCGTTGGATTTTTTAGCTTGCGGCTCCTTCATTATCCAGCCATGGTTAAATTAAAGTGTAAGAATATGAATTTCTGATTCTGTATGAATTATATTGGATATTCTTTTTAGACGCTACAGTGTTTGAGACTTTTTAAGACTCTATCTTGACCAGTGGTGATCAAGCTTTCTTGTGCCAAGTATTCACGGCACATGAGATGACCATCTTGACTCTAGAGCATTGTTGTACAAACTTTTTCAGCCATGGCACACCTTAGTGATAAGCCATAAAGTCGAACTTACATGTAATTTTCTACAGCACACCAGCGTGCCGCGGCACACAGTTCGGACAGCACTACTCTATAGTAAAACAATAGCCCATGGAACACAAATGAGTATTTGGGAACTGAAGCTTAATATAAGCTGTAAAGTTTAAAAGAAAAAAAAAAGAAAAAGAAATGTCCAGTTCAATATTAATTTATTGAATTTAAAAATATGTAGAAATAAACGATAAAATTACAACAAATTAACATTAGATTTTAATCAATTTTTCTTTTTTTAACTTCTTGAATAACTTTTCTCCCTACTCCTGCTTCCTGTGACCTCTTAATTCTTTCAATCAATGCATGCTTCTTTTCTTCCATTTGACTTTTTTGTCTTTGTTTCTGTGCAATCGCTTCCTGCACACTCTTATTAATGACTTCCGTTTTTTCCAAGTCACTTCTTTTCTTCTCATCAATTTTTGACAAGATAACTTCGCGGTCTGGTCCATGGCAATGCTCTTCACCAACTTTGACGAAAAACTTACCATCATTAGTGCTGTAAGCCTTAACTTCACAAGCTTGTCTGAAGCATTTCATATAAAGTTTATTAGCTGTTGAGTTTGTTACTATGAAGGCATAGTCATAATTAGGAAGCAAGACATGGATGCTACGTCTGTTTCCAATCTGCTCAATTCTCATTTTCACTTCTCTGTAGACATTTTTGGTCATATCAGCGGTGTTGAGCTTAGCCTTTGCTGTATCATGGATCCTTTTATGTCCAATTAGTTGACCATCAGTTTTGAATTTTATAAAGCAAATTGGACATTGATATTTGCATTCTTCCTCGACTGTTTTTACTGGTTTTTTAACAACTCCACTTACACTTGGAAGTGAAACTTTAGTAACAACTCTAATTCCGTTGACATTTAAAGACACATTCATGGTTTTTGGCTTCTCAACTTGATTCAGTCCTGAAGCTGATCGTTCCTTTTCTAGTTTCTTGTCTTGCTCAATCTTCATCAATTCCTGCATTGCCATCAACGCTGCTTCGGCTTTGGATTTATTTGGATTGCCAGACACAACTGTATGTGAGACACTGCGTCTTGTTGCTAGGTCTGATTTAAAGGAATTAACTGTGTTGTATTGGAATTCATCTTCATCATCATTATTCTTGTTTTCAGTTGAAGTTTCTGGGAAATTGGATGTAAAGTATGAAAAATTATCTTCTGTTATTTCCTGTTTAACATCATCAAGTTCTGTTATTATGTATGTGTCTTCTTGCTGTGAGGTTCCTGGTTGATCCTCTGTTAAATATAAAGGCAGGCTGGACAACATTGGTTGATCTTCATGTTCTTCTTTGATTTTTATATCAGGTATGACTGGTTCTGGGTTGTCTATTGGTTCATCTTTAATTTTGATGTCTGTTGGAAGTGCCTTTGCAGGGCTTTTATAAATTTTTAAATTTTTAAAATCTTTTAATGAAATTTGTAATTTTTTGAATGGCATGGACTCATTTGGTGTCGATTTGTCAACTGAAAATGGTTTTTTATGTGGATTACATTCTAAAAGCTTCCACAATTGACCATCATCGTTGTCGATAATATTTTTAACATTTGTAATATTTTCAAATATATTCAAAATTTTGGTGATTTCATCTTGATGAGAAAATTTAATTATTCCATTTTTCAGCTCAATTTTCGGGACATTATTCATATCCTCGAAACATTTTTCAACTGCTGATTTATTTAATAAATTGAATGAAACGATTGGATATGCAAATGGAATAATCAGCAAAACGGATACGGAATCTGAAGTTTCTTCTTCATTTAAAATACGTAGGTTGTTGGCCAACGTGTCAAGTAATTTGGACTTTGATCCAGATATTTCACAATTTTTGAAATTTGATGCATAAAATTTCCGCACAATTATTTCTTCTTTATATTTGATACGAAAATTCTTTAGATTTTTATCAAGCTCTTCTAAATCCTCCTCAAATCCCCATTTTTTAACCGGCTTAATAATCTTTACAGGTTCTTTTTTACGTGGATGTGCGAGACACGATCTTGATTGTTCCTCAACTTGATCATCTTCTGCTTCATATTTTAGTTCTAGCGGTTCTAAAACATTTTGATATTCAATGCACGATGAACTTTCCTCATCGGAAACAGGATCTCGTGGTTCACTTTTAATTTCAACGTGAAAATTGTCAATGCTTGAATCAATCATCACTCTATAAAGTTGTTCAAGGTACTCTTGCTTGCCACTTGTATGTTTTCTTAACTTTGTTATTTGCAATTTTTTTCGTTAATTTAATCAAGTGATGAATTAATTTTGATGCAAGAAAATTCAAAAATCTTCTTTTAACTGCTTTTATCCAAACCTCGGAGCCTCCAAGTTTTGATAATTGTGCACTTAAATGATGAATTTTGGATTAACTTAATGATCCTTAAAACGGATACAAAGTATCCGCTTGTTTTGCTTTAATTTCAAAGCAAAAGATCTTTGTGATATTCAAATTATTATGTGTGGCAATTGTGATTCCTAGAAAATAATAACGTTATATATTTCAACGGCTGTAACAATCTTAAAACTTTACCTTTTTTGAAACTTGAGAAGCAATACAAATTTTTAATGAATTGATTTTCCCCTGCTGAATTTTCAATGTGTTAAAACTTGACAATCTCTTTTGAATCTGCTTTTTATGGAAATACTTTAATAGCATATAAAGCTGATTAACTACTTAAACTTTTTAAATGAGATTTTTCCCAGATATTTCTTTCATTATTATGATTAATAAAAGTTTCTAAAACTCTAGAAAATGATGCGTAATTACTCAACGAAAACAAAATAACTTTTGTAAGGTTTTAATTTTCAAACGTCAGCTGTTAAAATTAAAAAAAGATTTTGCAAATATTTAAATTTATTTTAACTTTTAATATTTATTTAAAATTTTAATTTTGCATAAAAAGTTGATGTTTTTTAAAATGAATCTAAAAATGTAATTAAATTTCAAATTTAAAATAAATAAAATTTTGACACATAATTTTAACAGCCCTTTTTGATTATTTGATGGAATTCAACTGTTTTGTTCTTAAAACATTTCAACAATATCGAAAACATTTGTGCTGTTTTCAGTTTGAGTTTGCATTTGTTTATTTTTCGTTTGCTTTTTCTTCAAAATACGAAAAATAAAAAATTATTAAATTTAAATTTCATAACATTTTGCACAATGTTTGCATTTTGCAATGTTAAATTCAAGCCTATTTAATTTTTTTAAATATTTTATTTTCATAAAATCTTTTTTTTAAAATCAAAATTTAATTTAAAATTTCCATAGAGGGTCTTATTGCTTCTTATTTTCAAATTTGCTCATTTTTTGCAACGCAATATGTTCTATACGGAGTTTATTATTATAACTAGCGGAATTGCCATGAGGCGCAGATGATGATGAACTCTGTTGAAATTTTTCTTGATTTGGTTTTGGTTTGGAATCTTGTTTATGTGGCACATACAATTCATTTTCAATATAGAACTTTGATAATTTGTAAAATAGCTCTGGAAATATTTCAAAAAAATATTCACACGGTTCTAGTTCGTTTTCATAAAAATATCTTCCACATTTATCTTTATAATCCTTACTATGCCCAATCTAAAATGTTGTGAAAAATAATAAATTATTTTAAACATTGAACTTCTTTTGTTGAGAACATGCAGTATGTATAGGCTGTCGAACGGTGAGCTTTTGAGCAGGACAGTTCCGATTTTTTGAACATATTTTTCTTGGAAATACTTCAAAATTTGGTCTGTCCCGCTTTTTCAGAGCTGAAATCGAGACATGTGACATGTCCCTCTTTATACTAATAACAACAATAACCGATAGACAGCCCAAGTATGAAGGATGAATATGAATGCGAGAGATGATTTATGTACCTTTTACACCAGAGCAGCTTGTGAATTAAAATAGAATAAAGCTTTTTTTTATGAATTTAATACAAAAAATTATTTTAGTTACTCTGTTCCTCATAAAACGTATCATTTCAGCTCCTGTATTGCCATATCCACGTGTAATTTCTTGCTTTATAACACTTTCAGTAATTTTATCTTTCCAATTTTCATATTTGAATTCTTCATTAAACTTATTCTCCATATCCTTATTTTTTTTATAGATCCAACTGTTGGTGACTTTAAAGCATTCTTCAATTTTTGGCGTATCCCAGAAGAATGAGTAGTCCAGATAGTTTAAGATTGAACTTTCCTTATTCTCCATCATTGAAGCAATTAAATCAGCGAATGATTCCTTTTTAAAAGATTCAATGCACTTTAAGTCCTTAAGTTTAGTGTTAATAAAGTCTTTTATGCCATCAAAAGTTCCTAAACTGGCATTGTGATCATAACTTTCCTCCACTTCCTCCGCTTTTGTTACAATTGAAAAAAGAAGTTTTCCAAATTGTTTTATGTCATTCTTGTAACATTTTGAAGCTTGTTCTGAGACATCCTCAGCTTCGGTCAAATTCAATATTTTAAACTTTAATTCACCATTTTCCAAGCAATATGCCATATTCCAGGATAGGAATTTATTTAAAATAATTATATTATTATTATGAAGATTCCCAAAAGTTTTCATAATTCCTATGATTAAGTCTGAGAATTCTTTTTTGCTCAATTTGTCAGCATTTTCTTTCATAAATTTATCGATTGTAGACTGACATGATTCATATATGACATAAACACATTCATATCCAGCCTTAATCTTGTAAAATTTAAGGAAAGAGCTGACATACTGATTTGCAAGCTTGATGTTTAATTTTATTTCATTGCTAATTTTAATTTCGTTTTCTTTCGTTAGATCTGTAATCTTCCGAACAACCACATTTACTCCTAATTTATATGTTTCTTTATACCACTTGCTGTATGAGTCAGTGTGCAGCAGGTTTTCTTCTGAACATTTGAATATTTCCTCAGGTTCCTATCAGAATATGAAAAATAATAAATTAAACATTCTTATAAGAATTAAAATCCTTACTTTTCTTGGTCCAATTGTGCCATTGATTGAAGTTTTTGATTTTGTAAAAATTTCCTCAACCTTTTCTTCAACTATTGATGGTTTTTGTTGCATTCCACAGCTCATTGTCATGTAAGGTTCCGATTAAACTTAACTGAATGAGTTTTGTGAATTTGTTGTTGAAACTGAAATGATTTACGATAAGTTTTGATAAAAACATGACATGTGCATTTGTTTAAATTACGCCGAGCTAAATAGCTTCGATCTCTGATTATTTATAGAATTTGAATCAAACTGGATCACGATTATTTTTCTTAAAATCAAAATTGAATATCAAACATCAAATATGACATTGTTTGTGATTAAAATGTAGGCACTGTTCATAAATGACGCCCATCAAAAACAAGATTAAAGCACCCTCTCCCCCTCGGTCACAGGATTTGGAGCGATACATTTTAATTTGTTTGAGCTGTTACAAAATCGTCCCCCGAGGGTCGTAGCCAGGATTAAAAAATCGGACGCCATGGGAAAAATTTGCAAAGGGCAACATTCAGTAATTTTTTTAAGAGCTGTCAATTTCAAATGTTATCGATACTGATAAATAATCGATTGATTATAATATAACAGCAGTATAACATTTGTTAACGAGCACACTTATTGAGTGTTTAAAATCGATAGTTCTACATTTAAATATTTTATAAATTGAGTATATTTAAACCAAATTAACCTCTTACTTACTTAAGTTGTGAAATTCAAGTAAAATCTAATTGTCAGGCTACTTTTTAATAGTTTTTGGAGCAAAATAAGTTAAATAACATGAAACTGATGTTCGCTCGATTATAACATTTAGCGAATAAATTATTTTTTTTTGATCAAATTTTTAAATAATTTTTTTTCAACTTGTGCAAGTTTTTGGATGTTCTTGATGAATTTTAAATTTAATTGATCAATTTTAATACTTAAATTAGGTGTTTAATAATAAATAAATTAATTAACTTACTGTTTTTCGCACAAAATTAATAAATTTTGATTTTCTGCTTTCTCATGTTTTTATCACTGAGCAACAAGTAAATTGCTGTGTCGAAGAATTCATCATGTTTTGCAGTTTGAAATTATTATTGCACGTTAAGTAATTTGCGTTGGTTTTGATATTTTTTATTAAAAAAATTCTCATTTGACAGTAATGAAATATTAAGTTATTAAAATATTAAATGTAAAATACAGGTTTTTATTCAAAAATTTTTTAAAAAAAGTAATTTTACAGCTATTCAGATGTGATTATAATTTTAGATGGAATTAGATTTTTATTTTATTAAAAACTAATTCTTACAAATAAAACTTTAAAAAAATTCTTATTGTTATTTTTAAGGAGACTGGTTTTTTATAAAAATTATGCAATAATTATTGAGACTATATGTTCTCATTTTGTAAGCACATAGTTCAAAATGTGTCAAAAAAGTTTTATGTCTCTCCAAATCAGGTTTCACATCACTCTCAATACAAGCAAGTTCTTAATTCCCATCATAATTTTTAAAAGCTAGTTTACATCACCAACAAAATATAAATGAATTGTTTAAAAGGTTTCATCCACCAAATTCATAAATTTGAGAAATTTTATTTAAAAAGACAATTATTGATACAAATAAACTTTTGAGTTTTATCTTGTATTGCATAATTTAATAATTTGTGAAAAATTCACTGCATCTTATAAATTTTTAATATCAATCTAAAAAAGCATTTTTAATCCATCTATGATGTAATAATATTTTATTTGTTAAGCTATTCTATTTGCGCTTTTTTTGCATTTTATAGAATCTTTGATTTAAAAACTATTACGTTGTAGTGAAAGTTAATAATAATTAAGTTAAATTAAGCTAAAATCACGCTTTTGTGATAGTTTTCAATCTCAAAATTTACCTGATCAAGCACAAAAGCTTCTTTAAAATCCTTTTAAATGTTCTTTAAAGCAACAAGCATACCAATGTTTTTACATTATTTAAATGTATTTCTTCAAATGCATAAATTGTTCTGTTGTTAAAAATTTTGCTTCAGATCTTGTATTGCTATAAAAACTAAACAGATGTTAAACCACACAAGATACATGACGACTCCAAACACGAGACGACCGACACAAGACACAACACACAAGACACAAGACACAAGACACAAGACACAAGACACAAGACACAAGACACAAGACACAAGACACGAGACACATGACACACGACACACGACACATGACACAAAACACACGACACACGACACACAGCATACAACACACAACACACAACACATACGAGACACAGTCACAATAACAAAACACACAGACACAAGAAAAAACAAAACAAACAGACACAAAACACACAGGCACACGACACAAGACACAAGACACACGACACAACACAAATCATACAACACACAACACACAAGACACAACACACAAGACACACGATACAAGAGACACAGTCACAAGAAACAAAACACACAGACACAAGAAAAAACAAAACAAACAGACACAAAACACACATGACACAAGACACAAGACACAACACACAAGACACAAGACACAAGACACAACACACACGACACACGACACACGACACACAACACACGACACACGACACACAACACACAACACACAACACACAACACACAACACACAACACACAACACACAACACACAACACACACGAGACACAGTCACAAGAACAAGAAAAAACAAAACAAACAGACACAAAACAAGACACACGCAAAACACACAATACACAAGACACACGACACAAGAAACAAGACACTTTAAATAAAGTTTAACAGCTTTTAGGTGTTTTAAACATTACAAAATCGGAGGTAAAATTATTAACAACAAATTAATTCATGCACTGTAAAATACACTTTTTAAAATTAATAATGAAAAAAATTGACATGTTAACTTTACAAAAGTACAATTAACAGAATTTTAAATAAAAATTGTACTTCATCAAGTGGATTTCAAGATGAAATTATCACAAAAACGTTCACTTAGCTTAATTTAACTTAATTATTGTTTGCTTCCACCACAACATAATAGTTTTTAAATCAAAGATTCTATAAAATGCAGAAAAAGTGCAGATAGAATAGTTTAACAAATAAAATATTAATACATCACAGATGGATTTAAAAGCTTTTTTTTATTTTGATGTTAAAAATTTATCAGATGCAGTGAATTTTTCACAAATTTTTACTTTATGCAATACAAGATGAAATCCAACGGTCGATTTAACAAAGGTGGATAATCCTCTGATCGGATTATCCAATTTTTCGATCCGAGGATAATCCATGAAACTTTGCATGGTGATAAAGAAAAAATGGATTTAATGAAGAACAATTTTTGAAGTTGGATTTCACAAAAAAAGATTATCTTAGTAGGTTATCCGAAGATTATCTTAGGATTATCCACATATTTAATCCAAAATGTTAAAACTGGGTCCCCCCAAGATTAAAAATTCGGATAATCTTAGGATAATACATATACTTAAATTATTTTTTCGCTATATTTACTATACAATACAAAGATTTTTTCTCAAATTCGTTTGATCATTACTAATCAAGGAATTCTACACCAGAAAAAAAATATTTGGATTTTTCTCAAATTAAAGAAATAGATAATCCGAAAATTAGGACTATCCACCTTTGTGAAACCGGGCGCAAAAGTTTATTTGTATCAAACATTGTCTTCAAACAGAAAACCTCTCAAATTAATGGATTTGGTGGCTGAAACCTTTTAAACAGTTCATTTAAATTTTGTTGGTGATGAAAACCAGCTTTTAAATAAAAGTTATGTTGAAAATCAAGGACTAGCTTGATATGAGAGTGATGTTGTTCTAAATTCTAAAGTTTTACTAAGGTAGGCTCATAAAACATTTCAAGATACATTTGAAACCATATCCTCAATAAGCTAATTCTCAAAAAAGTGTTATTGTTGCAATGTTTCATATTTGTATATGAAAATAGCGAATTCTCCTTTTTAGTTTATATCTATTTAGATCTTAAATTAATAGAAAAATAAAATAAAAATTAACGCTAATAATTCTTTTATGTAGAATCTCTATTTGACGAATGTTCTTTATGATCATTCTTATTTAAAATTAGTTACTTCTAAGTTTATTACTATAGCTCTTGTAAATATGTTTTTTTAATCTCATTTGTATGTTTTTGTTTCTTTGCTCTATTTTTTAAATCTATGGATATGTAAAAGCTTGTTATTTATCTATTAAATCTTAACTATTGTCATTTTATATTTAATTTGGACCTGAAACATTACATTATTAAGTTTGTTTTCTTTACTATTTGTCCTGTTTTTTTGTTTTTGAATGATTATGAATAGCTTTAAAATTTAATTTGTACCAAAACATTGGGTGGATGAGTTTTTAAAAGATTATCTTTAGTTCTTAGGCAAGGATATTTTAATTTAGGTACTGTTTAATTAATTCGATGGGTAAACTGGCAGTTGATCGTGTGTGACAGGCACATTGCCATGAGAGCTTTTTAGTAAAATGAGAAACAATTTCAAATGAAATGTATTAAGAAGTACGACTTATTGTAATTATATTTTAATATTAATTATAAAGAAAATATATTATGTTAAAAAATACTATTTTATGAGTTAACTTATAAAGAAAATAAATTTAGTAATAAATCTAGTCAAAAAAAAAATACTAAAAGAATTTGATGTTAATTTGAATACAGTTTCGTTAATTTTCGGACTAAAAAGAATGATGAAAGCTTTAATAAAAAGTGGTTTTCTTCTAGCAAACTAGCAAAATATTTTTAAAAAAATAAGAAATAGCTTCAAGAGTAAGAAATTGAAATATGTTTAATCTTTAAGTATTATTTTTTTAAAAAAAAATCCATGTAAAGGAACAAGGATCGTAGCATAAGATGGGGGGGGGGGGAGTTCTGAGTCAAACCCGCTAATTTTAGAAAGTTTACATTTGATATTTTTGAAATTTCTTAGATCCTAACAAAAATATCCTTAAAAAATTTAAAAACCCCCAATTTTTTTTTCTAAGTTCTCACTTAAAGGCACCAATAGAAAAAATTAATTTTTGTAATAAACTTTATGATAGTTGTCTCTGTATGTAATGTTACGTTTGTTCCTTGCAGCTTCTTGACTTTTTTTCATATTTTCAATCATAACATTTTTCATCTCAGCCATTGATTCACTTTGATGTTGAGACTTTTTAAGGACAATTTTGGAATACGTATTTTTAAACTTTCCACCAATTGTTTTGTCCTTTTTCTCAATTTTGAATAAAGCATTGTTTAATTGGTTCTTTTGATAAACAATGTGTAAGGCACTGCTTAAATTGATGTTTATTAGGATGTTAGTAAAAATAAATAATATAATTTTATTCAATATTGTCACTTACCTATGTTGATTAGCTTCCTCAATTTCCATTTCTTCTTCTAGTTGCTGCCTGGCTTTAATTGCTTTTTCTGCTTGAGTATATAAAGGCTTCTTATGTGCGTCTGTATGAAATGAGTTGACGTCATTATATTGTGTTTTGCCATTTTTAGGGATTCTCGGACCTTCTGTCAAATTTGGTTTGATGTCGGCATAAGTTTCATATTTTTTATCTGAATTAAGTGATGTTATTATGTATGTATGTGATAGTGTCTGACAAATATCGATACAATTTTCTTCTTGATGTGAAAATGTATTTGTTGGAATAAGTTTCTCCTGACTATATTCATTATCAAGATTGTCTGTTGAATTTTTATTACTCTTACGAAAACAGTTCAATAAACTCTTCATTCCAGATCTCATATTCTTCTTTTTGTTCTGAATAATCACTTCTTGGACACTTTTGTTGGTTATGTTGGCTTTATCCAAATCACTTTGTTTCTTTTCCTCAATTTTTGTCAAAATTACCTCCTCATTAGATCCGTGTGAATGCTCTTCGCCTTCTTCGATATAAAATGTACCTTCCTTTGTTCTATATTCTTTAACTTTGCAAGACTCTCGAAAACATTTCATGTAGAGATGTTTGCCTACTGAATTTGTGACAATGAATGCATGATCATAATTAGGAAGCAATGCATGGACACTTTTTCTATCTCCTAATTGTTCAATCTTCATTTTAACTTCTTTGTCAACATTTTTAGGTTTCGAATCAACACTTTTTCTCACAAAATTTGTAATGGCCGATAACTTTCTGGATATTATATTTTTTTTCGCTGTTGCTGTTTTTCCTTTCTTATTTTTCTCATCCTCGATTAATTGCTGCATGGCTTGATCTGCCTCGTTAATCTTATTGCTATCTGATTTTTCTGATACAATAGTATAAGAGACACTACGCTTTGAATCTGATATGAATGAATTAACGTCGTTATATTGGAAGTCATTATGGTTTTCCTGCAAATTTTCAACATCCATCGGAACTATCTCGATACAATTTTGATCGTCAATAACTTCAGGTTCAATTTTGATGTCCGTAACAAGACCATTGTCAAATTCATCCATTTCATCAATTCGAGCTTTTGGTGAGCACATGCTTTTACTTTTATAATCTAATTGGAATGATTTGAAGTTAATTACTTCTTCTTCTTCCTTGTGCTCTCTACAAATTGGACCATGATAAGCTTTCTTATTTGATTTATTCGCATTCCTCACGATTACGTTTGCTTCTTCTTTCTTTGACATGCCTCCAAAACTCTTTAATCCAGCGAACATATTAAAATTGTTGTCTTTGAAATATTAACGGAATTTTATTTGACAGGACGCCTACAAAATTTGTCAAATTATTCACTATTTCTAAGTTTTATCGTGAAAACTTCAACTTATATCGATGAACAGCTTAATTAGGAACAAAATTAAATTAATTAAAATGTTGGAAATAATCGGAAATTTGTTTTTTTATTTAAATTAAAATTTACCTAATTTAGAAATGCGGAATCTCTACTTAGCAGCGAGAAAATTACACAATAACATTAAAACGCATTTTTTTAAGGAACATATAACATTTAAAGATAACATTTGTTTTTTGATTTCAATATGATTGTTAAAATTTATTTTCGAATCTAGATAAGTTTTAAAATAATATTTTTTTCTGATAATATATAAAATAGCTGTTTTTTATTTCTTTTAAATCAATCTTAAATGACCAAAAAAGGAACCCACTATCCTAGAAAACTATAAATTATAAAAAAAAATCATCAAGAACATGTTATACAATTCATATTTAAACTTAAAAAAGTCAAAAAGAATTTGCACGGTTTTTATTGAACGGTTCTGAAACACAAAAAAGCACACAAATGAAAAAAAGAACAATCGTGATAAGTAAAACAAACTTGTCAAGCTAATGAAAAGAAAAATTAAAATTGATATTAATTGACGGTCAAAGTGAAACGCATTTTCATTTTTTTTTAACAATTCTTGAACATTTTATCGTTATTTTTTTCATATTTAGGTAAAAACCTCTCAAGTGTTTTTGGAAATTTAAAAAGTATTGTTTCGTTAAGCTTTTTACAATATTGAGAACTCTTGACGTCATTAATAAATGTTTGCATATTCTTGATTTTTGTTCAAAACTGGATTTATTGCAAATTTCAATTAAACTTGATTTAATTGGTTTTATTTTCATCATGAAATGTTATAGCTAAACTTGTTTTACTTTTGTCTTGTCTTAAGACTAGGCTTACTAGATATTTTTCAGAAAAATTAATGACATCCCTCATGACGACTAGTTTTATTAGTTTTTGGACGAATTAGGACTCAACAGAACTCTTTTATTTGTAGTTATGAAAACTCTAAGAACTTTTCTCTGAAAACCAATGTAGCCAATTATTAGCCTACATAGCATCAGATCCGGTGCGTAGGCAGGATTTTTTAAGGGGCGTGGGGGAGAGGGGGTGGGAGGTACCCATTAATTTTTTTTAATGCTAATTTTATTGTTCTTGCTTTAAGCTAATTAACTTATGTTAATTAATTGCTATTTAAATTTTAAAAAAGGTTTTTCAAAAAAAAAAACCAAAATATTTGTATGAAATTTTAATCTACGCCCCTCGATCAGATTTAACATTTAAAATTTATATTAATACAAAATATATCGAGGCCATTTTTTTTTAAAATAATAAGTAACATCTGATTGGTTTTTTTGTCGCATCTTCAATCTTTTTTTCACGATTCGATGTTTTTCTTATGCTAGCATTTCGGTTATTATTACACATATCTGGTTGATTGGTTTTTGATATACTTCTATCATTAGGTTTTTGGTTTTTGGCAATCGTTTTTGATGGCTTTGGAGTATCAGGCTTTGCCGGTTTTGATTGTTCAGCCGATTTATGCTTTTTATTTACAATCACAACTGCATTGGCATAAGCATTGTTGGGATCCTCAAATAAAAATGATTTACAGTAAAATTGCTGAATTATCTTATGATTGGCATAAAGACGAAAATGATTGAACAATTCATACAGTAGATCGTCCAAATGAGCAAGGAAAAATGACAGAGGTCCACTGTAAGTTGAAAAGAATTTGGACAATTGTTTTAATGCTGTGTGGTCTTTTGTTGCGGTCTTTTGTTTAGGGCTGGCTTCGATTTTTTCATTATTTTCTTTGCATTCAGTTTCACTGTCGGTAAAATCATCGCTGTGTGTGTCCTACAACCAAAAATTGAGAAGCTATCAAAACTTTAAAAACATTAATGTCTAAGCTTGACTAGAAGTCAAGATAAAATACCCTGTTCCTGATGAACTTGATCAATTCGCTCCAGCTGTTTTCTTTTGGATAAAACACAGAAATTGTATTTCCTAGCTTGTGTCTCCAATTATAATCTTTTGGCATTAATTCTTCAAGCACTTCTTTTCTTTGATTGACTAGTTCCTTCCTTTTATCATCTTTGCTGGCACCATCCGTACTCATATTCAATCTACTGTTGATTTTATCGATAAATTTTGAAATTCTGTCTTCATCCCAAAAGTATGGATGTGCTTTGAACTCTTTAGCTCTTGGATTGTTTGCTTTTTTAACATTGATCAAGCACACAATTAAGTCTGCAAATAGTTTTTTGTTATTTGGCTGAATCCATGTAGGAAACATGATTTTTTTAAAGCAGCATTGCAACTTTTTATTATAATCCGGTGACTCAGCAATCATTTTGATGGTAACATCAAGGTCCTCAGATGGAATAAAAAGAGAAAGTAAAAGTTTTCCAACTTCCTTTATTTTATTTAAATATTTGGTTTCTGTTGAAATCTTTCCATCCTCTTTCACATCCAAAAGCTTAGGTTTTGCTCTATCTTGTTCCATTCTTATTGAAATAGAATCAATTGTAATGTCATGCACGCAAAGTTTAGATGAATGCTTACTTTCCAATTCATTAAGTAACATTTTTACAATATATTTAAATGTATTTTCATTAATTTCATGCTTATCAATAAATTCCTTAAGTGTGATTTTTTGCTGTGAGTTTGAACATTCATTGGTAACATTTACTTCTTTTAAATAAGCGTGATCCTTAATACTCTGAATTAATTTGTAATTTTGACATTCAACATCTAAAAATTGAATTATTAAATCTGCAAAGATTCTTGGATTTTCAATTTTAATCCAACGGGGATTTTTTATATTTTCAGCAATGTGATTAATTTTTTTATTAGAATCGCAAATTGTTTTGATTTTATCAAAGTTTACTTTGTTGTCGCATAAAATATCTAAGATGGAAATAAGAAGATTGCCGACATTTCTGATATCTTCAATATAATCGTTGGGACTGTTGATCTTTTTAGTTTCTGGTAGTTTAAGTTTAATTGTCTCATTTTCTAATTGAGCATTGATATTATCTAGTGATATATTTTCAAAAGCTAATTTTTCTAAATGCTTTGCTTCGATTGCATTAATCAAGTCTTTTAAAATGGATTTTAAATCATTTTCCTTAATGTTCTTCTTGTTATTTTCAATGAATTTATTCAGGGTTTGTGAGCAGTTATTGGTTTCTTGTTCTGTCAAAACAGAGTTAATACTATTTCCAGATGAACTTGAGGGCATTTCTTCATCATCTGACTGCATTTTTGCTTTTTTATTTTGATGTTCTAATTTCATCTTAAGTCAATTAATTTGCTTAAATTTGTTTTGTTTTGAATTGATGAATTTAAATAAGATTTAATTATGATTTTTTTTTATACTTTTGGTTTAATTTAACTATGAAGTAGTTTACTTAAGTACAGTTTTTATGATTAATGTTTAGTTTGAACTTCAATTATCATTTTTAATTGTTTTTTAATGTTTACAAATTTAATTAAAATTGTAATTTCAATTTCACTTTATAATAACATTGAGTTATGACTAGAATGATTATTTTAAATAATATTGTAAGTTTGTTTTGAAAAAGGCCGTAATTAACAACACAAAATTAGAGGAGAGAGTAATTTGCACAACATTTTAACTTTTGTTTTGATTTTCACATTTTTGATGTGTCAATGATCACCTATTAATGATTTATGATAAGGAGAAGCAACAGATAAAAGTAACATTTGAGCTGTTTTTGGCGGGAACATTCAAAACAATTTTATTTTTTACTTAGAAATCTAATTTTTTATAAAGATACATGATAATAATTCACATTTCATTCTAATAAAATTAAATGACATTAATTGATTTAAATTGTGCTATAATTTTATGTTTTTAAGCAATTTATATATTTATTTTGAAATAATTAAATAAAATAAATTTTTCGTGATCATTTTTCTAGTTGTCAGCATTTATGTGGTTGTTCCAGGCTCAATAAATTCAATAGATGCACTGTTGATACAATATCTCTTTTTAGTCGGTGGTGGTCCGTCCCCGAAGACATGCCCTATAGCCAAAAATTAAATTAAAATCTTATTGTTCTCATTTATTGAAAGAGCTACTTACCAAGATGAGCATCACATTTGCTACAGCGTACTTCTGTCCTGACAACACCAAGCGATGCATCTCTCAATAATTTCACCTTACCTTGCTCCAAGACATCATTGAATGCTACGAAATATGTGATTAATAATCAATAACTAAGACAATGCTGAGCACTTACCAGGCCATCCACATCCACTATCGTACTTGGTATCAGAATGGAATAAATCTTGTTGACAAACCACACAAACGTAAGTTCCTTTTTCATGAAATTTATTATATTTTCCCGTGAACGGCCGCTCAGTTCCAGCTTCTTGAGTTACGTGATACTGCAATGGAGTCAATCGTTCCTTCAACTTTTCCTTATCGAATTCCATTTTTGTTGTTTGATTGTCTTGGTTCTTGTTGTTGCTTCTTGCTGTGGTTGTGAATATGTTGGCTGCGTGGATGATTAAATATTATAAAATTGAGGTTTAAGACATGGAATCGATCCAGAAAAATATTTATTTACTGCTCTAAATTCTATATTTAATAAAATACACAAAAACATCTGACACACCCAGAAGTGAGCTTAATTGAACAATTTAAAGCATAGCAGATGACATTCGCATGCAACTTGTGCTCATAATCTGTGACTTGATTTCTAAATCAAGGTAAAAATATGAACTTGACCTCAAAACTTGATTTTTTATTAATATGCTTCCAGTTTTTCAAATTTTGTTTTAATTTAAGAACTTTTATCGATTAAATTAATTAACTTTATATCCAGCAATAACTTAAATAGACACATAAACTAAAACTCCAACTCATCTCACCTGTTAGTGCATAACTGAATATTCTAGAAATTTTTCTATTCCTCAATCGATTGACGATATTGTATCTTATCAAGTTAGCAGCAATATTCATAGATTCTCAATTTATCGTCTACCAACACCACTTAATTGTTCGATTTTAATTACCTTGCTATATAAGGATATCTGGATTATGTTACGAGAGACGGCCGATAAGCGATAAAAAAAATTTAGAAAGTTGAGATTTCACTTCAAAAGTATTTGTTGTGACCAAAAAAGTAAACAGTTGCGATGAAGGAACATTTGAGAGGTTTTAATCAAAAGTTTTTGAATTTAAATTATTTTCAAAAATAACGGTTTTTTAACGGACAACGTAATTTTATTGACTTAATTAAAATAAATCTGTAGTAAAATAAAGTTCTGAATTTTTTAAAACAAGTAAGTAAATAAAAATTTAAAATCTGAAAACTTAAATTTCAACAAAAAAATGTCGTATAAATTAATTTGTTTCCCAGTCAAAAGCACAAAAAGCTTCGATTTGATTGCACTTATGCGTTCCATATCTTCCTACTACATAACAATCACAATAAAATTCTCTTAAAGTATCATAAGATGAATATTCTATAAAGTAGTTATAAAAATCAATAAAATAATATGGATACTGTTCCGAAAAATATCCAACAACTCCGTTTTGATATTGATTGAAAAAATTCCTTAAGTCTTCATTTCTTTTCTCATTTACGTGCGCTGGCTGAAAATAATTTAAAAAGATAATCAAATCTGAGAAACTGAAGAATTATTTCCAATTTAGAGGGAATCAAAACTCCCCATTTAGGAATCATTGAAAATAAATACTTACAAGATTCCTCAAAGACCTCAACAGCTCAGTCACATCATTCTTATACTTGCGCTTCTCTTTTAATGTTTCCTGGACTTTTGGATCTAAATTTTCCTGCCAATTTTCATAGCTTGGTCCACATTGAGCACGCATTGATTCCTTGTCTTCCATATCACATCCTTGAATGTACTGACTAGTAACAGTTAAAAATGCAACTTTTCGTTGATCAGTCCAAAAGAATGGATGGTTAAGAACCTGCTTGATTGTTGGTCGTTTTTTCGGGTCATATTGAATCATTTTTTGAATTAAATTTGTGATTAATGGAACTTCCACAGCACTAAGACTTTTTGATTTTTTTAGAGTATTGAAATTTGGCACAAATTTTTTATCACAAATATTTTGTTGAAGGCTACGACCATCTCTTGCAAATGGATGATATTCAGTGAATGCATAAAAGTAGACGACTCCCATGCTGAATATGTCAACTTTTTCAGTGACTTTCTTTCTTTGACTGTTATTTGTCGATTTTTTCTTATTTCCTTGATCTATGTTGAAATAGTTGATCAACTCTGGAGCTGAAAATCCATTTTCGGAAAAATCACGGCTTATTGTGACATTCTTGCCATCAGTTAGCAGTTTGGACATTGAGAGGTCTGCAATCTTTCCATTATAATTACTATTTTCTTCCTTAATCACAATATTTTCTGGACGAATATTTCGGTGAACAAATTTTTTGTCATGAAAGTGCATCAGTCCTTCAGTTGCAGTCAGCAAAATTTGCTTAATCGGCTTGTTTAAAGTGTCGTCAACAATATTTTTTAAAGTATGGTCAAAATCCTCATAAGCTATGTACAATTGTCCATCATTAGTATTTACTTCAATCTTTTCAACGCTTAATACGTTTTGGTTCCTTTCGTTAGCCTTTGCAGCATAAATTTCTCTGTTTACTCTTTTTTTAAAATCTTCAAATTCTTGGTTTGGAATTATTTTAACAACAACATTTTTTATCGATTTTCTCAGTCTTCCTCGATAAAGTTTTTCTCCATTTGACAATTTAGCATCTGGCGCAATTTCACCGACTTCAATCGTCTCGACTTCAAAAGTATCCTGGCAAAGGAAAAGTTATGGTTGTCAAAAACGATTTTGCAAGAAAAAAAATACAAAAGTCCTCGTGTTATTGATCGAGGGACTTCAGCGCATTTTTGACGAAGCGATCAGTATTTGATTATAGCATAATTAATAATTTGCTGCAATGAATTTCCATATAGAAAAAGTTTATCATTTAACGGTTTTTTAAAATTTGAAATTTTACAACGGCTAGAAAAAATTTGAAATTATAGAGGTAAAGTTGAAATTACAGAGGTAAAATAAAATTGGAGCAGGTTACACTGAAAACAAAACAAAAATTTATTAATTATAGCATAAATACACTGTTTCAAGACTTTTAACTGTTCGATCGGACAATAAACAATAGTAACGGAGCTAATAAAACAAACCTGAGCTCTCTACGATGTCTTGTTAAAAAGTTTTTATGCTTACCCAGCCGAGCAAACGAACGAACAAAGTGCATTATTAAGCTTCCTTTTCGAAAACAAGTTTTGAAAAATGCGCTAAAAATAGATCAGAAGGGAGTTTATATTGGAATCCAAGTATCTTTCAACAATTTATGTGCGTATGATGCCGGAATAAAGTCATCCAGGGACTACTATATCTTAGTATAGAGAGTCCAAGCTTTTAAGCAAATACCGTAAAATGGAACAAGTGCTCCTAAAACTCGACTTGAAAATAGTGTTGCATTCTGGCAAGCTGACTGAAGCAGTAAGTATCTGACAGAGATTCCTTACTTTGTAGATTCTGTCTGCACGTGTAGGTATCTGTATTTGCAACTCATTTACAATGTTAAGAATAAAATTGTAGCGATTAAAGGTTTTAGTAACACTGTTGCAAAATTTAAGGTGAATAAATTGAATTTAAATTAACATCACAACACTGCTTTAAAAGGGATTTGACTGAGGACCTCGGCACGTAATGCCAACTCTACACTTCTGCAGACAGAGAAATACCTCGAAGGTGTTCATACTACTGTTCATACTAAACAATATGTTTGCTTACCATTCTTTCAACAGCTAGATCATTACATGTATTGAATGTTTGAAATTCTGTTGATTCTAAGCTTTTTGTGATGTATTTTGAATTTTTCTAGACAAAAAGTTAAAATCAAAAAATTAATAACTTTATTGTGTCAAATTCATACGTATTTTAGCTTTTTTACTTACCTTTGAATCTTATTAGACTTTTAGTGCAATCAAAAGTTGAATAACACAGTTAAAACTATTTAAAATAATGTTTATTTGAGGAATGCAAAAATTGCAGTGAATTTTAAAAACTTGTTGAATCGCGACTGCACATTAACTTCCATGTTATTATGCAAAAACACTTTAAGTCGAAATTCTAGCTGTTATTTGATTTAAGTTTATTTTATTTGATAGCTTTAGTCTCTATTAAGACTTAATTGTAAGTTTAATTTTATTTTAAACAGTTTTTAATAAATTCTAGAACATTCCATTAAAGTTGAGCAAACTCCTTCTAGCTTGGAAGTTAATTTTTTTGCAACAAACAAGAGGACTTTTTGGCGCGAAAATAATGTAAACATTGTGATTTAGCATTGACTTATATTTCAAAAAAAGTAAATTAATTAATTCTTGCACATAATCGTAGATTAAAATTGATATTTTGAATTCTTGAGACATAAACCATCCAGTTATGGATGCTTACTGAAGATTAAAAATAAGAATCAAGTTCGAACCATCTAGAAGAAATAAAATCTTATCAGAAATTATAACAAGTTTGTCAAGTGTATTTCACCATAATATGCAACACGACTGATCCAACAAGTGAACTTGAATACAACAAAAAAATAAAAATAATCAAAATGTCAAGACAGGCTTTAGGAGAAATTGAAATAATTGGTGAATTGACATATTTTAAGTCAAGTGAGAGTGAAAATTCTAGTATTCATGATGGGACATTTAGAAGTAAATTAAAAATTAAAGTTAGAACTGTCGAAGACAACAAAGTGAATAAAATTGAAGTTGAGAGATTTTTAAAGTTAAAAGCACATCCGAATGTACAAAGACTTTTTTGTTATGAGTTTTATGAATCAATTCATCATTTTGGATTGCAAACTTATGACTTCAATTTATATGATTTTATGCAAATATCAAAAAATAAGAGAATTAAGATTGATCCAATATCAATGGTTAAGGATGTTACAGAAGGATTGAAGTTTCTTCATACAAATGAAATTATTCATGGAAATTTAAATTTTAAGAATGTTGGAATAAATAAGGGGGCAAAACGTACAATGCTTTGTTATTGTGGATTTGATGATCTTCAGGAGGATCAGAATGTAAGTTTTTTATAACTGGATCTTAAGAATTTTCATGTTTTAACTTCTTATAGATTTTCATAACACCTGAGGAAGTTCGAGGTGATAATCCATCATTTAAAGCTGACATCTTGAATCTAGGCTTAAAGTATTTACATCGAAAATTCTATTCATCGGATACAACAAAACGTTTAATGTCAACACGAACGATAACTGTTGATAAAAAGCCTAATAAAAAAAGAAAATTATCAATAGCTAGTGACACAGCTAATGAAATGAGTGAAGTTTCAAAGTTCCAAAAGTACCAAAAATGTCATAAAAACTTTTATTATATTAAAATAAATTTTTAATAAGTTTAAAGTTGCTTTTATTTAAAGAAATCATTCAAGTTGCACACAACCATTTACAATTATTAAACATATCCATCTTATTACACTTGTGAGCTGTGTATCTATCAGGTAAGTAACAGTCACAGTAGAATTTCCTCAATGTATCATAAGCTGAGTAATCTGGATCTTTAAAAAAATCATAGCAGTAGATGAAAAACGATGGGAATTCAGTTGAGAAATATTTAAAATATCCGTTATGTTTTTCAAAAATATTTCTGACTTTTTTGTTTCCTTGTTCATTTATGTGAGCCGGCTGGAATTGAAAAACAAACAGAAGTTCAATGATAATTTTAAAAAGATTACTTACAATATTTCTTAAACATCGCAACAGCTCCGAAGCTTCATTTTTGTATGGTTTAAAACTTTTACCTCTCTTCGTTTCAACAATTTTCTTCACTTCATCATCGAGAGCCTCAACCCATGTAGTTTGACCGTCATCATTAAATCCTGGATGTTTAAAATTAAATTTTTGTTTAATTTTTGGAATGCCTTGAATAAACTGACTTGCTACAAACAAGAAATATTCTTTTTGATTATCACTCCAGAAAAATGGATGATTAAGAACTTGTTTAATGGTTGGACGAAGGTTAGGATCATATTGGACCATTGATTTAATAAGTTGCTCAGCTAGTGGAACTTCATAGTTTTTTAAGAACTTACTCTTATTTAGTGTTTTATAAATCGGCTGAAAATCATCATTCAAGATATTTTTTTCAACACTTTTTCCATCTCGTTCGAAAAGATTAAATTCAGTCAATGCGTTAAAGTACACAATTCCCATGCTGAACACATCGACTCGATCTCCAACTTTTCCAGTAAATTCACGATTAGAATCATAAAGTTTAATTAATTCAGGTGCTGAATATGAGTTTTCAGAAAAGTCATGACTAATTGAAGCTTGTTTGTCATCAGACAGGCATTTTGAAAAGGATAAATCAGTAATTTTTCCAACAAGTTGCTGATCTTCTTCACAAATTACAATATTTCCAGGACAAATATTTCGATGAATAAAACATTTATCATGTAAATGCATTAAGCCTTCAGTTGCAGTGAATAGAATCAGCTTGATTGGTAAGCTTGCTTTGATAGATGTGGCAAGTGTGCCTGTAAAATGCTCGTAAGCGATATAACAATATTCGCCATTATTTGATTCCACAATTTTCTCAATATTTAGTACATTTTTCAATTTTAAACTTTCGATTGTTGCTTTAACTTCTCGGTCGATTCTTTCTTGATATTTTGAATATTCTGATTTTTTAATTTTCTTTATTATCAAGTCTTTACTAACTGTATTCTTAAGACGTCCATGAAAGATTAAGTTTCCTTCAACCGAGAGCTCTTTGTCTGGATTTATATTATGAATTAAATCTCCAACTTCCATTTCTTCTGGAAAATTCTATGAAATTGAATTATTTTTAATTTCATACTGCAAAAAATATTTTTTGACAAATTTACCATTTTTAACGAACAAATTTCAAGTTTATTAGAATTTCACACAAAACAGTTTTAAAAACTAAAAAAAAAAAACGATTCCAAACTTTGAATTTGCTGCTCACAATATCGAATGAATTTTCTCTACCAAACCATCGAGTCAACTTGAATTGAATATTTTATACCTTTTGTTTGTATTGTAATCAGCTCTTATAATTTTTTATCATTAGCTTTTTGTATTCAGGAAATAATATCCGACGTTTTAGATAACATCGAAAATGAATTTTCTTGATTTTTGTTCTTGGTTAAGTTCGAAGAATGAATTTTGATGCTTAAAAAATCGAAGCAAATTGAAGAAATTGACCGCTTTTTTTCCAGGGTTCGTCAAATGATCTTTAATGATCTGATCGAAGCTCGGATCGAATATTGAGTAAGATCCTCACGATCAATGGTTTGATCTGCGATAGTTCTATCAAATTTGCAATTTTTATCAAAAGGGAAATGTTTTGACTCAGCTGTTCGGCATACCGGTTTGTTTATCTCTTTATCAATATATATTAGTTTTTATGTCTGTTGAATTCGAGAGGTGTGTACGTGAATTACAAAATAAAACAGACGGTTCTTAAAAACTGAAGTGTTGAGCTTGCGAATAAAAATATTTTACCGGAACATTCTGGAATAAATTTGCGTCACACTTGCATTACATTGATTATTGTTAAAAAACCTTTCTAAATTTAACTCACGTTTTTATTAATGAAATGTGCAATTGAAATGTTAAAAAATGAAAAGATACAAAAAAAGTCACAAAAATGAGTAAACAAGTTTATCAGTCATTTCTCAGAATTTGAGTTAAATTCGATTACATATCTAGTATCCAGGGGTTGGCACGATTTCATCTTTTCATATAAAAAATTCAACTTTTTCATTTTCTTTCATCTTTTTTGATCTTTTTATGCAAATTTTGTAGAAAATTTATCAAGATGAAATCGTGTCAACCCCTGGTCTCATATCATACAATGGCCATTATCAGTAGATCATAACGTAATATTGAAACAAAGAAAATAAAAATGTTAATCAGTTCGATTTTATAATTTGAAATAAAAACACAGAAATATATTTAAATATGATGAAAATTCGTGATATAAGTTATAATATTCCAAATGATGGAAATCACATTGGATTGCATGAAGGAAAATTCAGGAAAAAGTTAAAAGTTAAAGTTGGCATATGTGACGAAAAATATGTAGATGAGAAAGAAATTGAAGGTCTTCATAAATTAAATGGCGATGATAATGTCCAAAAACTTTATTATCATACTTTTCATAATTCAAAATGTTATTTCGCACTTGAGATGTTTGATGTGACTTTAGAAGAGTTCATGGATAAACCAAAAATGGAGTTAATGAAAATTGATTCAATTAAAATTATAAAAAGCATGACAAGTGGTTTAAAATATTTACATGACATTCAAATTGTACATGGAAATATTAATTGCAAAAATATTGGAATATGCGGCATCATACGATCTGTTAAAATTTGTATTGGAAATGCGAACGATCAAAAAGGTGTAAGTAAGGTTAAGTTTAATTAAGAATGTGAAGAAAATTTAATTTTTTTTATAGATTTCCTTTCTTTCAACTCAAACACCAATCGATGAATCCTTGATCAAGAAAGATGTCTGTGATTTGACTAAAGTGATTATCTCTGTTTTAAGTGGAACAATGGATTGTGATATTCAAGAACTTGTTGAAATTTTGAAAAAAGAAAGTGAAGTACAACCATGCATCATTGAATTTTTCAAATGGTCTAATGATGTCCAAAATGATTTTAACCACAAAACTGCACTCAAGTTATCTTTAATTAGACAACTTTATGCAAAAAATTCAAGCTTGTCGTGTGCTGCAATTCTTAAAAATCCACTTTTTTGGAGTAACAAAATGAAATATCAAAAATTGAAGGAGATTAATACGCTGTGGGAAAATGAGATGCCTGAAAATATTGAATATATCAATAGTATTGGTGAAATATTGCTCAAAAACTGCAACTGGACAAATAAGCTAAAGAAAAATTGTTTTAATCAAAAAATAAAAAATAATCATGTGCCTAAAATGTCAAGTTTGGTGAAATGTGTCACTTCCAGGGTAAGTTTGGTTGCCACCTGTGCTTCCTAATTTACTTGAATAATTTTAATTCATATTTTAATCTCACAGATAAAATATTATCAACAAGCTGAAAATCACCATTCTCTACAACAAGAGCACATGTTTTATTTTCTTGACAATTTCCCTTTTCTTCTTACATTTATGGTCATTATTAATGATCAACTCTGTATAAAGAAGCAAAAAGAAAAGAAATGTGGATTTCTACATGACAAATTTGTAAACAATAATTGTAAATATATTATTTGCATTATTTAAACTTATGTAATTCATTTGAAGTATTTAATTTTAGTGCCTTTAAAATTCATTATTCCACCTGAAGCTATAACTATAAAGAATCTAATTAAAAAGTCAAATGCTGAGGTTTATGATGGAATATACAAGAAATCAGCAGTAGCATTGAAGAGAATACCAAAAATGGATTTTAAATTGAATGAATTAAAAAGCATCATTAATCTTAAGTCTACACCAGGAACAGGTCGGAAGTGTAAAGGCTGTGAACAAGATGAATGTCAAAATATCATTGATTTTCACGGGTGTTTTGAAATTGATGAGTTTGTTTGGATAGTCATGGAAAAAGCAAAAGAAGATTTTAAGGATTTCAAGTTTACCAATCAAGAAGTAAAGCTACAAATTTTATTTGATACTGTTAAAGGCTTGGAATGTCTTCATGCTAATTCAATTTCTCATTTGGATATCAAGCCAGGAAATATTTTGGTAGTAGAAAGGAATAAAAAGCTTGTTGGATGTCTTGCTGATTTTGGGGAAAGCATTGATGCAATCAAGAAGACTTATACGCGATCAAAAATTAGAGGAACTGATGTAAGTTTATTGACAACTTTAATAAGCTTCTCGTTCAAAATACTATGAACTCTACTGTTTTGGTTGTCCGCTGCTGGTTGTCCAGCATTTCAATCACTGCGCCACTATTTCTTTTTTTTACTATTATTCTTTATTTTTTAGGGTTATATAGCACCAGAGTTAGAAGAAGCTTTTAAAAGTGACCAGAAGACAAGATCAAATAACAAAAAGAGATTTATCCTCAACTATTCAAAGTGCGACATTTATTCATTAGGAATGGTGATTAAAAAAGATTATTTAAATTCAATTGATAAAAAAGAATCTTTGGACATGAATTTGATGATTTGTGAAGAATTAGTGAATTACATGACAGAAAAGGATCCAACTAGTCGACCTGATGTTGAAACTGTTCGAAAAAATCCAGTTTTTTGGGATGTCACTCAGAAATTAAAGTTTTTGGAGCACGTTCATGAATATGGAGATGGCCACACTACTGATCCATTTATGAAGAAACGGATTGAAAATATGATAAGAAATCGAAAAAATTGGGTGAACAGCTTGAAGCTAGATGATAAAATGACTATGGAAATTGAAAAATACATGAAAAAGAAAAGGAAGGAACAAAAAGGAGCAGAAAAATCAATTTTTGCTTTAGTTGAACTCATCTTATTTATTGTAAGTTAAAATTGGTTGTGATAAGCTTATACATAAGTGAAAGATAATCATTTCATTTTCCAACGTAGCTTAAGGAAGAAGCTGCAAATTGTTTCCCAAACACAAGACAATTATTAAAAGCAACTGATGCTAAAATCTACCTTGACTTTTGGTACAAAAACTTTGAAATTTCATTTTTGTATTATTACATGCAAGATGTTTTTAAGTACAATCGAGAATTTTATTCAACTGAACAGCTTAAGAGACATTTTACAGCAGTCAAGAGAATAGAAGCTGATAAGGATGACAAAGTTTATCCGATTCTACTTTATACTCCATCAACATCGACATTTATATTTCCAAAATACATATCACCTGAAATCGGAGAGATAATCACAAAAGTGATTCTGGGGATCAAAGAAGGAACAACAAATCCACGAGCATTGGGAAGATTAGTTGGCAATTGGTCTGGTTTGAGGTCAATAGAACAATAATCTCACTTATTGATATTTTTGCAAGATGTTTTTCGACACATCATTATCAGAAAACAACCTGTTGATATGTTTTGATACCTTGACAATAAAAAATTAAATCATTTTAAAAATTTAATAAAATCAAAAAAATAATCAAAAAAAAAAAAACACTCACAAGAAAGCTAAAAACAACTGAATTTTATTTTATTTTAATAGTTTTAATTCATAATTATTCAAAAATCCCAATTTATTTACATTCCACATTCCACCCATCCACCTTTCTGTTTACATTCGACTCTCGACACCGCGCACGTGCTTATCTACTCAAATCACACCCCATAAATAGCCCACCCTCACCCAACGTCACAACCCATCTGAAATGAAACGAAAACTGAAAAGTGAAACAACAAATTTTCATTTCCAGTATTGAAAAAAAATTTTAGCTGTGAAAAAATTAAATTTTTTTATTTAATCGTGAATTTTTCTGTCAAATTTGACAACTATCGAGAAGTTATCGTCGTTCTCCAACATTTGTGCTAAAAGTTTGCGAGAAATTTCGTAAAAATTTGCCAAAAAATTGTAAAATAAAAATTTTCACCCCAAAATCGAATTAAAATTGTGAAAAATAAATTTATTAGGCACAATAATGCAATGACAGAGAGACCACCAGCATCATTTCGTCAGCAATTGCGGGCCAGTATTGTCCGAAATCTTCGATTGAAGATCCGCGACTCGAGGAAGACGACAGCTGAAATTTTTCTGCCACTTTACACCCTCGGAACCCTCATTGTGCTGAAAATTTTAATTCCTAATCCGAATTTTCCGGCAATTTTAGAGCCACATGGAACTGGAAAGGTCTTTGAACAGTTTGATGCATTAAAAAATCACACGGTAGCTGTTGTGCAAAATGGAAATGGCAGTCGACATCACACAGTGCAGGTAAAAAAAATATAATTGGGAAAATTTTCTTTTTGTTTCATTTTCCACGCTGGTTTTTGCAATGAAATTTTCACTATGACGACAGTGATTTTGACAAGGATAACAAGCTGAATTTGAAATTTTTATGACCGTTGGGATTTTCCCGCCAAAAATTTTCTCTCATTTTAGTATCTCGATGCAGTCAACAACCTGTACTCATCCATGCATCCAGCATCTGATACATTTAAAATCAGCTGGCAATTCTACGACAAACAATCAGAGCTAATTGCTGCATATTGGCGGGATCCATACTCAATGCCACTTGCTCTAGTATTCCACAATGATGATCCATATAATGGTCAACTTGACTATGAGATTCGAACTAATCCATCATTTTATGTGGCACCATCAACAACTGAACTGTTCTCGAATCCTGTGTCTTGTAGGCAGAATGATGATAATTATTTAGCGCAAATGATCCCAATTGAGATGGGTGATGCGTGTCCTGTTAATCAGTATTACTATTCTGGATTCATCGCGTTACAGACGTTGCTCGATTATACTAAAATTAGTGTGAGTATTAAGATTGATTGCTTTTGACCTTGGGTTAGGCCTTTTATGATATTTTGAAGAGATGTTGTTTCTGAACTATAGTTGGTCTGAATCTAAACTAAAGATGGTATTGTTCCTAATCTTGGATCGGTCCTGATCCTTTACAATTCAGGATATTGTTTCTAATCTTAGATTATTCATGATCATTTACTATTGAGGATATTGTTTCTAATCTTAGATTATTCATGATCATTTACTATTGAGGATATTGTTCCTAATATAAGATTGGTCCTGATCCGTTGCTATTAAGGATATTGTTCCTAAACTTAAATTAGTCCTGATCCTTTCCTATTCAGGATATTGTTTCTAATCTTAGATTAGTCATGATTCTTTACTATTAAGGATATTGATCCTAATCTAAGATTGGTCCTGATCCTTTACTATTGAGGATATTGTTCGCTGTCTTTGGTCAATCATCATAGTTATCTAAAGAAGATGTTGTCCTCAAACTCAGATCGGTTCTGATTCTTTACTAAATGGATATTGTTCCTATTCCTAAACTTATCGTATCTCTATCCTATAAACCAACCACCTAAAACCAATTCTAACCTCACAACCATTTACTGTTCTTCTAATTCCAGCTAACATCATCATGTACAGACTTTCGTCTGCCAACAATATTTCTCGAAATGTTTCCAAAAGAGCCCTACACTGGCAACTGGCTCGTTGCATTTCGTGTCGTCATTCCAATCTACATGGTCATGGCATTATCACAATTCATAACATATCTGCTCATATTGATTGTTGGTGAGAAGGAGAAGCATATTAAGGAAGGCTTAAAGATTATTGGCCTACGTGATTCTGTATTTTGGGCTGCTTGGTTCGCTATATACGGAGTGTTTGTAACATTCTTAACATTAGTATCGGTTGTGCTGCTTTTTACACTTGGAGTATTTCAGTATACGAATTATTTTCCAGTATTTTTGCTCATTCTGCTGTATAGTCTTAGTGTCATTGTCATTGGATTCATGATTACACCATTCTTCGATAATTCCAGGGTGAGTAACTGAACAAATTACGTTTTGAATTGAATTAATCCATTAATTTGTGATTTTCAGACCGCTGGAATTCTCGGCAACTTCATTGTCAATATCATGTCATTATTTTACTTTATTCAAGTATTTCTGGACAGTGAAGAAACATCTGCGGCATTATGGATAGTTTCGCTCATATCACCAACAGGGTTTGCACTAGCTATGGATAAGATTATGGTTTTAGACATTAAGGGTGAAGGAGTTACGTTAAGTAACTTATGGAGTGGTCCTGGCATCCCACTCGGTGGATCAATCCTTATGATGGCATTCGATATAATCTTGTATTCACTTCTGGCTTTATATTTGGATGCTGTTGTACCGAGTGAACATGGAACTAAGCAGACTCCATGTTTCTGCTTCTATCCATCATTTTGGATAACTAAGAAGGAAGTCAAGGTTCCATTACTGAATGGGGAATCAACAGTTAATTCATTCAACAATTATGAAGCTGATGTTGAGCCTGTACCAAGAGAAATGAGAGGTAGAGAAGCTATCAAGATTGTGGATCTGGTTAAAGTGTTCAATACTTGTTGCAATGATGAGCCTGTCACAGCTATCAATGGAATCAATTTAACAATTTATGAAGGTAAGGTTGACAATGTTCATGCTTTTCTGTCATTATATTCAACAATCTATCATTCCAGGTCAAATAACAGCAATCCTAGGTCACAATGGAGCCGGCAAGTCAACACTCTTCAATGTCATGACAGGCTTAACATCACCAACTTATGGAACCTGCTATGTCTTTGGATATGACATCAGAAACCATTCAGATATGACAATGATCAGAAGAATGACTGGTGTCTGTCCACAACATGACATTCTCTTCGACGACTTAACACCAAGAGAACATTTATACTTCTTTGCTGCTGTTCGAGGCATTGATGAGTCAGAAATTGAAAGTGAAGTCACCAAGACGATTAAGGATTGCGATCTGGGAGAGAATAGCGACACAGTTGTGAAGCATTTGAGTGGTGGACAGAAAAGGAAGTTGTCTGTTGGAATTGCTATCATTGGAGATCCACGGATTATTATATTTGACGAGCCAACAGCTGGTGTTGATCCTTATTCGAGAAGATGTTTGTGGCAGTTGCTGCAGTCGATTAAGAAGGGGAAGGTTATATTGCTGACGACGCATTTTATGGATGAAGGTGAGTTATGGAAAATCTAGTACTTCAAAAATTTTAGTCCTTTTTCATAAATCTAGTACATATAAAGTAAATTGTACAATATTTAAAAATTCTAGTACAAAAGACTAGTACTTTGAAAAATTTAGACTATCAATAAATCTAGTACTTCTTCAATTAATCTAGTACGTTTTAACAAAAGTATAACCTTTTCAATTCTAGCTGACATCCTAGCAGACCGCAAAGCAGTCATAACACAAGGACGACTTCGTTGTTGCGGCACATCGCTATTTCTGAAAAACAAATTCGGTATTGGCTATCATTTAACATTAGTCCTCGACTTAAAAGCTAGAACAACCCCGATTTCAAACTTAATAAATCTTCATGTACCTAAAGCTGAGAAGGCACGACACCATGGACGAGAATTGAGTTACATATTGCCACATGATGCTGTCCATAATTTTGCGCCCTTATTCAGTGACATTGAGGGAAGCACTGGACAACAGTTGGGAATATTAAGCTATGGAGTGTCGATGACAACATTAGAAGAAGTCTTTCTGCAACTAGAAAATGACAAAGAAGGCGAAGACTACGAAAGTCACACAAAGATCGTTCAATCTCGAGCAATAAGTCGCAGCATGTCACTCCAAGGACGCTCTGGTAGCTCAACATCTGTTGTCATTGAACCCACCGAGTCATATGACATGAAAGGAACAATTCGCTCGTTACCTGAACGTAAATCAATGGCTTATGCAGTTGAACATATTGAAATAGACACCAGCGATGAGCCACCATTAATAAGATCAAATGAAAGTGCAATTAAATCTAGTTGGATGGAACTTGATGACATAACACTTCAGCCATCAATTTGGTCGATAACTTATGCATTATTGAAGCTACGTGTGACGATACTGATTAGAGATTTGCAACGATTATACCTCATGATTCTAGTTCCACTACTTTGCTGTGGTGTTGGATTGTACTTGAACTCTATACAGGTCGTAACACCAACAATGCGATCTATTTTGCTCAATAATGATACATATGAGGATGCTAAGATTGCTGTGATAGGTGAGCTTGATGAAGTTTTGCTTTTGATGATCTAGTACTTTGCAGATTATTCTAGTACATTTTTAAAAATTCAAAAATCTTTTACTTAATCTTAAAATCTAGTACTTTTTCAAAAAATTTGTATCATAACCCAGTACTTTTTTAAGAATCTAGTACATTTAAAAATCTAGTATTTTTTTTAAAAAATCAAGTACTATTAAAATATTCTAGTCCCTAAACAAAAATCTAGTCTATTAGTGAAAAAATCTAGTACTGCAAAAAAATGTTCTAGTACTTCATGAAATAATCTAGTCCAATTCAAAATTCCAGGCAACTACAACAAAAATCCAAATGAAATTTTTAACGCAATGGACATATCAAATTTTGACGACGGACCAGAGACGGGTCCTGGTGACTACATAGACGATCCACCAGTAATTTTATCATCAACATCAAATGCAATAATTGATGAACTCAGGAAACTCATCAACATCGATGAATCATTTACTGGCAGTTACGCTTTGTTCCTTAATTTTACACCGCACATGGCAGCTTTTAATTTTACATCAGCAACATGCAGCAATATGACATTGACGGTCCTTTATAATGATACAGCAATGCATAGTCTACCTGTGGCATTGAATATCCTCTCGAATGCAATTTATCGAACAATTTCACCATCTGAGGATATCCGGCCAATAGAAGTTCAATCACATCCATTAATGATTACAGCACAAAGTCAAGAATTCAATATTGGGACATTCTCAACTGCTCTGTTTATTGGAATGATCTTTGTTCTTATTCCTGTATCTTTAGCTATTGATATGGTCTACGATCGTGAAATGCAAGCTAAGAATCAACTTCGAGTCAATGGACTTGCCATCACTTTGTACTTTACGTCATTTTTCGTCGTCATTTTTGGTCTCACAATCATCATTTGCATCTTCTTACTCATTATGGTCTTTGCCATGGACATTCCATCATTTCAACATCCATCAGCACTTGTAACAATTGGTCTATTTATCATCATTTACTCACCATCAGCAATTCTATGCAGCACATGCTCTTCATACTTTTTCGACAAAACTGACTCAGCTTTAACATTTCTTCCAAATATTTTAACATTTGCCGGTTGTGTGCCATTCATTCTTGTTGCATTCTTGGACATGATGGGAATTGATGCAAAGGCAACAATCTTATTGCATTATTTCCTGTCCATACTCAATCCAATGTACATTCCGTATGCATTAATCTATTTCGTTGATCGAATCTACATTGCATGCAGCATAAGTAATGCTTGTTCAAATCTCACAATTGCCAATTACATGACCGAGGAGATTATTGTTATATTGGCAAGTTCATTACTCCATATTCCAATTTGGTCGGTGTGTTTGATGATTGCGGACATAAAGAAAAATGGCGGGAAAATTAGAGATTTGATTAAAAGGAAGAAGAACGAGTTGGAGGAACCAGTTGAAGAATATACTGGAGATTATGAGGATAGTGATGTTAAAATGGAACGGGAGAAAGTTGCAAAGATGTCAATGTGTGAACAGAGCGACGAGGCTGGACAACCTATCGTTATTGTTAAGGTAAGAATAAAATTTTAATTTTCATGGTTTTTGAACTTTATCCAGAATTTTTGAACTTAAGCCATAAATTTTGAACTTCAACCATAATTTTTTGAACTTCAGCCAGAATTTTTTGAACTTCAGCCAGAATTTTTTGAACTTGAGCCATAAATTTATTGATATTTTCAAATTCCTTCACAGAATCTTCGCAAAGACTTCAAGGAATCAAGCCTCTTCTCATCATGCTGTACACCAGGAAATGGTGAAAAAACAACAACAGCCATTCGATGCCTTTCATTTGCTGTTGAACCAGGTGAAGTTCTCGGTCTCCTCGGTCATAATGGTGCTGGAAAGACAACAACATTGAGGGTCATGACTGGCGAGATTGCAGCAACAAAAGGACAAATTAATATTGGCGGGAAGAATATAACAAGCAGTCATAATGATGTGTTCAAGATGATGGGATATTGTCCTCAATATGATGCATTATGGAAGAATGTAACAGTTAGGGAGCATTTGGAGGTTTATGCAGCTATCAGGGGTGTTGGTGTTAAGGACAGGAAAAGGTTTGTTGAGAGTTTTTGGACCTGGAAATTGTAATTTTTGACTGAGATCCTTACAGACTGATAAATACGTATCTTCATGGCCTACACATAACTGAGCATGCAAACAAGCAAACAAGACACCTTTCAGGAGGCACCAAACGTAAATTGAGCTATGCAATTGCTATGTTAGGATCACCTAAGATTGTGCTGCTTGATGGTAAGTTGTTGATTTTGAAATTTGAGGTTATAAATTCAATTTATTATTTTATTCACAGAACCATCAACTGGAATGGATCCAAAGTCAAAGAGGTTTTTATGGGACACCATTTTAGGTGAGTTAGACTAGAAAAAAGACAAAAACTGCAACATAACCTCAAAAATTTTGAAAATTTTTGCAGCGAGCTTTCAAGGATCACGTGGAGCAATCTTGACGACTCATGCAATGGAAGAAGCTGATGCTCTGTGCTCTAAAGTAGGAATTATGGCAAAAGGAGAGCTAAGGTTGGTGCTAGACAGACATAACCTCAAAATTCTAAAATTTAACCTCAAAATTCAACGAAAATTCAAATTTTTCCGTCATTCTCAGGTGCCTCGGATCAACGCAGCATCTCAAGAACCTCTACGGAGCTGGCTACAATCTAGAAGTTAAACTAAAGCACCTCGATGCCTTACACACAAGTTCCTCGTTCGATAATATTCAAGTGCAAGCGAAGAAAGAATGTAAAAATTTTGTCTTTGAAATGTTTCCAAATGCAAAGATTGAGGAAAGTTTTGGTGATCGAATTGTGTGCTCGATACCACAGGATAATGTGAGCTCGTTGGCACAGTGCTTTGAAAAGTTGGAGAAAGGTTTGTTGACTTTTTTTTGAACTTTTTATAGCTGTTTTAATTTTAAACTCAAGTAAGTTTTTTGAACTTCTGCCAAATTTTTGAAATGCTGCCAGATTTTTGAACTTGAGCCAGAATTTTATACACTTGCCCGATTTTTGAACTTCATCCAGATTTCTTAACTCGAGCCAGAACTTTAGCCAGATTTTTAAAACTCCTGCCAGATTTTTGAACTTGAGCCATATTTTGGAACTCGAGCCAGATTTTTGAAATTCTGCCAGGTTTTTGAACTCGAACCAGATTTTTGAGTTTGAGCCAGAAAATCAAGTTTCAGCCATAAACATTTTTATGAAATTTTAAATTAATAGAAATTTTTGAACATTTTCAAATAATTTCAAACTTTTTCAATTTTTTTACAGTCAAACTAACACTAGGAATTGAAGAATACTCATTTAGTCAAACAACACTGGAGCAAGTGTTCCTTAAACTTGCACATTACGAGGACGATATCAATAGTGAAATTAGAATTGAGTAAAAATTTAAAAAAATTAAATAATCTAAAAACAGTCATTTTTCTCGTCAATATCCACCAAAATGTCAACAACAATAACAAAATGCTGTTGAATCTGAACACAGTTATTAATCTTATCAGACTAGATGAAAAGAGAATAAAAAAATAAAATTTAAAAAATAATATAAAGAAAAGTTGAAAAATTTGTGAAATATAGAAGTGAATGGGATTTTGAGTGCAATGTTTAGTTGGGGTGGGAAACTAAGATTCGGCGTGGACATAATTTGATTAATCTGTTCTTGAGCAAGCTGTCTTGGCTCCTGCAAATTGAAATGAAAGTTTTATTTTTGTTGCTAAAATGCAAAGAATTTTTTAAAAATAATATTTTAAAACTTTGAATTTTTGAATTTTTTAAAACAATTTGAACTTTTTGAAAATTTTAAATTTTTTTTGAAAATTTTCTTTGCATTTTTTATCTATTTTGCTTTGTTTTCCGAACAAGATAAATAAATTTCTATCTGTGACGATGATAGGATAATAAGTAGGAAGTAAGATGAATGTTTATGAACGGAAACGATTGTTGCAATCGAAAGTAAAAAATTAAAATACAAATTAGAGGAAACTTGGTATCAAAATTAAATCAGTATTAAAAAAAGTGGAATTATTTGGTGCGAAAGTGAAAATTTTGAAGCTTAAATAAATTTGAGTACAAAAAAAATTGCTTCGTTTCCTTTTTATAAACTTGAGTTTTTGTGAATTGAAGCTTATTTTTCTGCAATTGAATCTCAATGGTGGCATCATTTAATGAAAGTCTAGTTGACCCACCTTAGCCACCTAGTAAAATATAATAAAAAAATAAATTAAAATTGCACGCTTCAAAAAATTTAAATCAAGGGCTTCAAGTTGGAAAAATTTATGCTATAAAAATTATTTTTCAAAAACTTAGTGCGAAAAATTCGCAAATCTTCCTAAGTTACTCAAAACTAGTTTAAATCTTAACATTGAATAATTTCAAATGAGTGCAATCTATAAATCAAAAAAATTAACTTTATTTTAGGCAATAAAATATTTAAAAAAATGTATAAAGTTTGTAATTGTGAAAAGCTTGTGAATCGAAGTCTGTAAGAAAAATTATGAAAGACAAAAAAATGTGAAATAAAGAAGTTGAAATAATAAAATTTATTTCTCAAAAAATTGTAAAAAATTTAAAAGAAGGCTTTTTAATGATTTTAACTTTACAAAACTTTAAATAAAAACAATTGAGCTTCACAATTTTCAAAAATTTCAACATTCCATAAATCAAATTTTCATTTTTTCCAGTTTCCATTAAAAATTCGATCTTTCTTTTGTTTGAAAATTCGAACATTCCAGTATTAAACAAAATTCGATAATTCCAGTTTCTAAAATATTCAAACTTTCCAGTTTCGAAATGATTCGAGCTTTCTTGTTTCGAAATGATTCGAACTCTCCAGTTTCGAAATGATTCGAACTTTTTAATTTCGAAATTGTTTGAACTTTCCAGTTTCGAAATTTCGAATTTCAAAATTATTCGGACTTTCCAGTTTCGAAATTTTTAATTTCGAAATTATTCGACCTTTCCAGTTTCGAAATGATTCTAACCTTCCAGTTTTTGAAAAGATTCGAACATTCCAGTATTCGATAATTCGATCTTTCGATTTTCAAAAAAATTTGAACTTTTTAGTTTTTTGAAAAAAGGAATTCAAAAATATTTTTGCTTTTTAACAATTATTTTTATTTGTTGCCATTGAATGACCTAACATCAGTTCCTGTAAACACACATAGCTTTTAAAATTTAACGATTGCCAAGCACTTATTTTAAAAATTACAAAACTTTAGATTAAAAATCTTTATTGACAGGCAATTTTGCAAAACTTGATTATTTGACTAAAATTTAAATTTCGACTAATTCACTTAACAATGTCTTTAAGTCTTTTTAACAAATTCTTGTTATTTAATAAATGTGAAATTAATTCATTAATTTTTTTTATTTTCAGCTTTTTTTTGAATCGCTATGAATTTCCCTCCATACCCACCTGTCAATGACTATGTCCAGTGCATTTAAAACCTTCTTAAAAAGTTCTTCATAAACTGAATTTTCGAATTTTTCACTCGTTGCTTTTAAATCATCCAAATTTCCAACTTCAAGCTTCCTTTGCTCTTTCCTTTTGTGTCTGAGGTATGAGATTAAGACATTGTATTGAGTGACTGTCAAGTTTCCATTAAAGATGAGCTGTTCGATGAAATTTAAGATATTTTCAGGCATTTTCTCAGTCGAATATTGAATATTTTTTTGGATATAAATTTTAAAAATTAATTTTATTCCTTCATCAAATGGAATGTTTTTGTGCTCGATTCGCATCCCCCGTAGAGTCTGAAAGGATATTTTTTGGTAAGTATAATTAGGTTTTCTGATATTTTTTCATCCAACAGACTTCAACCATGAAGATTCCAGTTGAGGCTAGAATCTAAGACACATCTAAGCAATACCCTAAAGGCAGATGTGTATCTCACCAACAATCTAAACCTTATTAAAATCAGTTAATACTTACAAAAACCGAAAAGCTTTGGCACTTGACATTCGAGTCGTTGACAAAAATTGCAAAGTAATACCCGTCCATAAATAGTCGTTGTAGAATTGAGTCTCTTGATGAATTTAAGTCTAAGTAGTCAATCTCATTTGAAATTCCAAGATTTGATAAGTTTTTGGCTAAATGCTCTGCATATGGTCTACAAAAAAGTGTTTTAATTTGATAATTAAAGTTTTCAAGCATTAAAATTTCTAATATTCCAGTTTTTAAACTGTCCAGTTTTCGAACAATCCAGTTTTCGAACATTTCAGTTTTCGAACATTCCAGTTTTTGAACATTTCAGTATTTCAACAATCCAGTATTTAAAATACTTCAAAAATCATGGTTTTGCATAATGTAAAAACTTTTAATTTCGAAAAATTCGAAATTCCAGTTCCAAAAACAAAAAAAATTGAATCAAAATTCTTAGTTTAAAAAAAATATTCTTTTTAAACCAGTTTTTAAAAAAACCAAGCAGATTGTCTGCTTAACTCATGTCAAAAGTTATTTGATTCATAAAAGTAGAAATCCACTTTACTTTATCATTGTAAGCAATCAGAATATAATACATAACACCATGATTAGCTATTTATGTATTATTATTTACTATTCGACATGTAAACGATAAAAATCTAGTTTCAAATAATAGGAAAGCTTTGAACAATAAGTCATAGAAAACTTACAAAACATCACGTTTTTCAATGGTTATCATGCAGCATTTGTGAATTGATCCATTTCCATTTAGAATTGAGTTATGTCCACAGTAACCATACTGTTTGGTGAAGAATTCTACAAAAGATTTTAAATTTAATTTAATTTTAGGTCTTGATTGGTTTCTAGGGCTGCCTATGGTACCCTAGCTTGGACATAATCATATTTTACATCAATTTTTAATGCCAGATTGCAGGAACTCAAGAAGCCTTTAAGTCAGCCTCCTAAGATGATCCCTAATACTCACTTTGCATGTCAATCGACTCGTTTTCTTCAATTTCATCATTAAAAACTTTCTTCTTCACTTTTTTGTCACTTTTTTTATTTTTTCGAAAAAATTCTTTAACAAAAATTTTTCTTTTATTTACAACTGACAAATCTAAAGTTCTTATAGCCAACTCCGCACTATCCGGTTCCTCAAACTCAACAAAAGCAAAAGGCGGTTCTTTGTAAAAAATTTGACTGATTTTTCCACATTTTATAAAATGATCATAAAGGTCTGAAGCACGAATATTTTTACTTAAATTTCCCACATAAATTCGCTTTTCACGACTTTCCATGACTGAGATTGAATCTTACTTGTTCTGTAACTTATGCTTAACTGATCATTTTGCAATTTATTTATCGCAATTTTTTAATTATGGTGAAATTCAAATTAATATGCGAGAGAGCGACTTGTTTTTGCTTTCTAAGCGATAAGCACAGACTTTTATGAATGAAATAACAGAGAGTTCATGACTTGTGGAGTGTATTTAAGAGAGGAGCGAAGTAATGAGGCAGCGGCTTTGAGAAATGGTTCAAAATATTAAATCACACGTCTGTGTCGAGGATCTCCTTAGCTTAGTATTGGAATTACACTTGCTCATAAAAAACTAGTCCTTCCCACTGTCCATTCAAGCTTTGTCCCTGGTTGGATCTGTTAAAGTCACAAAATAAAGCATAGGCAACACCGGGACTGGTTTTAGTCATTATCTTTTAGGGTTTTCAATCCCGGTCCAAATTTTCAATCCCGGGATTACGGGATTGAAAATTCTTGATCCCGGGATCCCGGGGAATCCCGGGATTAAGAGATTATTAAAGAAGCCTTAAAATTTCCAATAAATAAAACATAAAATCTTCGTTTGAGAGAAAATTTTTTAATTTATATTTGTTCTATGTATGTTTATTGTTAATGATTAAGCAAAAAAAGAAAATTAGATACTTATAATCTTAAAATAAGGTTTTCATTTTGGAAAGTAGGCTTTAAGAAAGCAAAGGTAATCCAAAGAATCATCAAGTAGTCGAGTGCGAAGTTTACTACAAAAATAAAATTAAGAAAAACAAATCGTCACTTACTTACATTTTTTTTTTATGATGAGGCATATTAACAAAATTTCAATGAGTGTTGTGCACGTCAGTAGTGTTTTGTAGTTTTTAAAAGCAATAAATCAAAATTTCAATGATTTTGAATTATTTGTATTTCTTGCGAACCTATGACATGCCAAGAGACGATGTCAACGTTGATTCGAAATAAATTCAAACTCATTTCGAATGTTTTTCGAACAAAATTTCGCCATTTCGAAAAACATTTTTTATGAAAATTTCAATTTTTCGCAATTTCCGACTTCATTTTCTTATTATTTAAGAATTAAATCATGCTTTTATGTTTTTTAACGCTCATTTAATCGTTAAATCGGTGATAAAAACAGCAAACATTAGTTTAAAATGCTTTTTTCAAAAATATTCTAAATTTTTTGTTGTTGTTTACTTTGAAAATAAAAATGTCATTAATTCACTTGTATTATTTGTTTAGTAAATCAGTAATGATTCATTACATTTGAGTAGATTCATTTAGCAATTTGATGATGAAAAACCAATATTGATATAAATAACCAATATTAATAATTTAACGTGTAAAAAAAATTTGAATTTATGCTCGAAAATAAGGTACTAAAAAAGTTCAATATCGAAAATAAGAAAATAAGTTTTAACTACTAACTCAATCCCGTAATCCCGGGATTGAAGCTGGTTTCAATCCCGGGATTGCGGGACCAAAAAAAACGCGGGATCCCGGGATCCCGGGATCCGGGATCCCGGGATTGAAAACCCTATTATCTTTAGTCTATACCAGAGGTTGAAGTTTAGAAATTTTGTATGGAATCGAGTAAATTCTGAGCCAACTCCGCCATACAAAATCAATAAAAATCTCGAGTCCACTTCGAGCTCTGACTCTATACCCTTGAATTTCTATCTTGTTACCCAGTGTCTAAGGCTTCCCAATAGTCTCACCAAGAAAGAAATAGAATAAAATGTAGCAAAGAGTAGGATGCCTTAGAAAGCCCTAGAAACTCACTCTAAAGTCTAATAAGAGCTCGACTAGAGTCAATTCTAAGTTCTCAGCTTCTTCAAGAGGCATACAGCGTTCAAAGGGCTATTAATCTGGCAGCTAGGACGGTACTAAAACAGCACCACACCTGATATGGTAAAAAACAGCGTTGTGCTAAGTTAGTGCTATCCTGAATGCCAGATTGACATCCATTTTTACGCCATGTGGCTTTCAGACTTAAACAAATGACAACGAAAAAATGGGAATTTCCAGAATTTTTTTTAAAATCTTATTCAAGTTTTTTTTATTCTCAGTAATTCCCAAAATTCATAAGTTTCTCTCGTTATTTCCGTTCGTAAATCATTTTTTATTGCTATTTAGAATTTGTAATATTATTTTTCTATGGAAAGAATTAAGCTCCGGAGTTCGAAATTGTCAATTTTGAAGTCACTTGATTCATGTTTTGCTGATGCAATTTTCATTTATGTTGCTGGAGATCGTAAAACATTGGAGAATGTGAAGCTATTGGTTGTGTATTTTTTGGTGCTATAAAGCAATGCGTGGGATGTAAAATGAAAACAATAACAAAAACATTGAAAACTTTATTGAACTTTATTCACCCGCAGAGCTGATTTTAGATTAAAAACTTAAATTTTGATCTAAAAATCGACAATTTTGTGAGAAAAACTTGAAATTTCCTCAAATTTTGAACAATAAATCAACAAAATTTTGAGAAAATCCGCTCAAAAATCCTCAAAAAAGTACAAAAACAAATATTTCCGATGGTCCAAAGTTCAAGTGCTGATAATTTTATTCACAAATTGTTTTTTGTAGATTCTTCAGTGCTTATCAAAAATACGTCAACTTTGTACCTAAAATTTTAAATTTGATTTTATTTGAAAATCGACTTCATAAAGCTTTAATCAACTGGAAGAGTAGCTACTAAGCAGCTACAAAGTTCTTACAATTTTGACAAATCAATTGAACTATTCACCATCCACAAAACAATCAAAATTTGAGCACACAATGGCACTGAAAGGCTTAAAAGTGATAGAAATGGCTGGACTAGCACCAGTTCCAATGTGTGGCATGATTTTAGCAGATTTTGGAGCTCAAGTGACTAGAATTGACAAGGTAAAGCCATGCTTATGTCCACCCTTCGCTAGATCAATGCTTAATTGTAATCCAGAGCCACTTGTTCCTTCTATTCAACCTATACAGGCTCTTTTAATCAAAAAACCAATTTTTTTTTCTAGACCCTCAACTCCAACCTGGACGTCCTTCAAGGCGGCAAACGAACAATCGCACTTAACCTCAAAAAATCAAAAGCAACAGAAATTGTCAGAAAAATTTGTAAAGTCTCTGACGTGATTATTGAGCCATTCCGTCCAGGTGTGATGGAGAAACTTGGACTTGGACCTGAAGTTTTAATTAAAGACAATCCAAGGCTGATTTATGCTCGTCTAACTGGTTACGGTGCTGATGGTCGTGGACTTTATGGCAATCGTGCTGGACATGATATCAATTACATAGCAACATCTGGAGTGTTAAGCATGTTTGGACGAAAAGGTAAGAATCCACAGGCGCCAGTCAATTTTGCAGCTGATTTTGCTGGTGGTGGACTTCTTTGTGCCTTTGGAATTTGCACAGCACTTTTGGAACGTGAAAGGTCTGGAAAAGGACAAGTTGTGGACTCGGCAATGGTTGAAGGAAGTGCTTATGTAGCCAGTTGGATGTTTAGGTCACGAGAACTTCCAGTTTGGGGCAATTCAAGAGGTGAAAATGTCCTCGATGGTGCTGCTCACTTTTATGAAACTTATGAGACAAAAGATGGAAAATTTATGGCTGTTGGTGCTCTTGAGTCTCAATTCTATGCCTTATTGCTTGAAGGACTAGGGCTGACTGAGGATCAAGCACCCCATTTTGGGAATTTTGAGGAATCAAAGAAACTTTTTACAAACATTTTCAAATCCAAAACACAAGCTGAATGGTGTGAAATATTTGATGGAGTTGATGCCTGCGTCACTCCAGTTGTAGACTGGCAAGATGCTCCAAATCATCCGCACAACAAAGACAGAGGAGTTTTTAGACAAAAGACTGATGAGAGTGACCCAGCTGTGCCTAATCCAGCACCAAAGTTGAGTAGAACACCAGCAACATCACAATATGGAGTTGGAGTTGATTGCGACTATGTTGAGGTGGCTGTTGAGGTTATGAAGGAGATTGGGGTGGGGAAGGAAGAGATGAAAGGTTTGATTGATGAAAGAGTGTTGATTTTGGATGGAAGGTCTAAGCTGTAGAGATAAATGTGGTATTTTAGGTACTTATTATCCTGAACCTTATCATTGGTCACTACAGTGGGACTAGTGTTGTTAAATAAAGTGGAATCAGGAACAAAAGACATCGAGAACATTAAAATTTTCCTAAATTTTTAAATTTTGTTGATTTTTTTTATTAAAGTTTTTTCATACTTAATTAATACGTTATAATAAAGTTAAAGGAATGGTTGTGTTGACATTCGAGAATTTTGTTAACGACATTAAGATAATTTCTACTATTTCAGACCAAGCATATGCAGGTTCTTTTAGTGAACCTTACTTGAGGACCCATATATCCCAGTATGATAAGATTTACTCTATAGAGTACATTTTATATGACTTTATCCCTTCAATACTTGAATATAGAGCTGTAGAATAGTTCACTTATACAAAAGATTTCAAAGAGTCACACCAGATACCCATTTAGTGGACATGAAGTGATCATGGGACCTGATACATCTGTTACATACCTCCATTAAGTCAAACAAGGTCATAGCTAGCAGTAAAATACCTTTAATCTAACCCGAATAGCACAAGACGGTTAATCGATCAGAAATCCGATACTGGTTTCGATTTAAATCCAGTACCAAGTCAGAGTCACACTTGCTTGGTGTCAGATTTCTGATCGGCCATTCGGGAAACTTTAATCCTGATTATACAAAGCTGACCAGATTAAATTTTTCCTCACACATTACTTGACCTGTAGCAGCTCAGATTCTAGAACAACCAAAAATCATCAAAATCCATCAACTCAACACATCCAATTCCTCTCAAAATTTCCATCAAAAATCTCCCAATTTAATCCCTCAATTAACAAAAAAATTCTCTATCTAAATTCCTACTTCAACATTATTTGATCTCTTAAATTCCAATTGACTGCGCCATACTCGAATATAAATAAAGTGTTGGAATTCCAAATCCAAATATTGCAACTAATCCTTTAGCAATGAGTGCCGACCACGGTCCAAAACTCATTGCATATAAAATGCCATCAAGCCACACATTACGAAAGGCAATGGCAAACAGCAAGAATGTCACAAATGGCATCATTTTCTTATTGAGATCATGTCTGGACCAGAGCCAGAGGAGTGTTGTGACTGCAATTGTGATGACGAGAAGAATGTTGGATTCAAGTGATTTTTGAGTGTAGATCCATGAGAATTCAGCACCACGAGCTCTCCAGAGGGTCAAGCCTTTTGAAAGAACAATTTCTGCTGTACACCAACCAACTGCTGCTGTTAGGAGCTTGCTGTGTCCTTTTCCGGGAATTTTTGAGAGAACGAAAGTGAGACCGATGAAGTCGAGGAGATCAGCTGAGCATCTGAGGCATTCCTGGAATGGGAAATTGAGGATTTGGGTTAGTTTTGTGATTGTAGCTTCTTAGTTTAGCTTGACTAGAGTTCAGCTAGTTTAGTTCAAACTAGGTTGGTCGAATATGAGCTTAAGACCCGAATTTCAGCTAATTTGATGACTATTAAGCTTATTTAGGTATTGGAAAGCAAAAAGTCTTTAACTTAGCTAGAAATAAGTGAATCTAGCTTAATTAGACCTAAAGGATCCAATTAGGGTCAAATCAGATCCAAGAAGCTTTTTTCTTGTATAAACTCTAGCTACACTAGTGTCATCCTAGCTTTAGCACAATCGAGTATGTTCAGCGGTGGTTTACCACTGAGTTTACACAAGGAGCTAGCTTCTCGAACCAAAAACCGATTAAAGTCATCTTTACTTACCCCTATGAAGTTGAATCCAGTTGGATCTGAGTTGATAGTTTCTGGGAAGAATGTTAGGATCAACATCTTGCATAGTTGTGTGAACATGTACGTTCCACCAGCTTGAAAGCACTTGTATGCTCCATATTCAGCTCTAGAATTGAAGAATTAAGTGTCAACATTATGGAATTTATTTTAAGAATCAGAATTTAAAGGTTTTGAGGTGTGGTTTTGGAAACTGATGGATGTGATGCAGATCCAAAAGATTCTGAACTCAAAAACTAGGTCAATCCTCAAGAACCAATTTAAAACTTTATCAAAAAACCTCCAAATATCTCCAATTAATTAAGTCTCAATACTTACAGTCCACTAAACTTATACAGGAAGTAAATCGGCAGTACAGCAAGTGCAGCAACATTACCAAAGTGATACAAAGTCATTTTTTTGTGATAATTTAATTTATTTTAAATTAATGTTAATGAATGAAGTGGAAAAATTAAGTGACTGACTGGATCTTTTTAATGATTGATGATGCGAGTAGTTTACTGGCCCTGTCTAAAGGGGGACTGATGTTGAGTATTCAAATGTTGCCGGTGTTTTGATGCGAAATATTTTAAAATTGAAGAAAGTTTTGGAAAAATTGTCAACAAAAAAGTGAAATTTGAGGAATTTTGAAAACTTTTTCATTCAACTTTCGGACTGTCAACAAGAATTTCAGGTAAATCCAAAACTTTTTTATTTTATTTTATTAACAGCTGACCCCCTTGAGAACCTTACAAATCCCATCCGCATCTATTTTTATATAAATTCACCGACGATAAAAAAAAGTTTTTTTCTTTATTATTTTAGTAAAATTTTTTCTCTCCTTCCTCAAACTTCCTCACAATTAAGGCACACATAAAAATATGAAATTTGGAATTGTGATAGCTATTTTGACAGTCATATCATTAGAATTTAAGGATGGATACTGCTTGGATCGTGAAATGACAATTATTGTGAATGCAAAAGAGAAGGAATGCTTTTATGAGAGCGTTCCTGCCAATCATATCATTGATATGGAGTACCAGGTAAGAGTCTTGATGGGTTGTGGTAGATTTGGGGAAACATAAAGCTTAATTTTTGGCATTTCCTGTTAAGTCGTGGACAATTTTAAATCACTGAATCATCCAACGACTCAATTAATCAGATTATCGTTAAAAAATGACATCGTATGCATGTTTGTGAGCTCTTATCTCAAGATCACCTCTCAAGTTGCATACTTTTAGCTTTTAAATACAATTTAATATTCATTGAAGTACAATTAAGCGAGTTTGAGTGCAAAAAGGCATCCAAAAGTAATAAAACATTTTCTAGGAAATGCTCAATTCACCCCCATGGTGAGAATGAGTATTTTTAAGTTATTTGTGAGTGTTTTGAAGTAAATTTCTGATTAATCTTTGAGATGTTATGGAAATGAGCTCTTAAGTAGCTTGTACAGAACACTAGGTAGAGCTGGAAAGGCAAGTATGCCACCAACTTGAGGAATCTTTCAAGTTAATCTTATAATTTTGTCACAAATTCTTAAAATGTCCACATAGTTCGCCATAAAGCTAAACATCATCAGCCACAATTAATTACATTCACCTTGTTATCACCCAAAATTATTCTGTTTAAATTTTTTTATTCCTTCATTCAAATTACACAAGGTTTCATTGTTTGTATTCAAAATATTTAAATGGGACAATTTATGGGTAATGAAGGCACACATGTATATCTACAATGTAGCTGTGTTTTAAAAATAGTTTTTCATATTAAGCATTGACAGGGGTGCATGCAGAACCTACATTTAAATTAAAAATTTTTCCTTTTTTCCACTGAATATTTTGGGTACAATGAGGCTGATTAATGAATTTTAGGGCAGGGATGGACAAACTGTGTGACGCGACACTCTGATTAAACTTGAAAAACATCGAAATCTATGCAAATAAATTATGTGGATTTGATCAATTAACTTTTTTGACCAGTTTCTGAATAAAAGCACATTTTTGACCAATTCTCAATCTTTCTAATTTTAGGTAATCGACGGAGGTCAAGGAGATCTAGACATAAATTTTGACGTCACTTCAAACGGCAGAGTCCTCCATGCTGACTTTAAAAAATCAGACAACATTTACCGAATGGACAAGCCACATTCAGGTGGTGAATATCAGTTCTGTTTTGACAACACAATCAGTCATTTCAACTCGAAAACTGTCTTTTTTGAGCTTATTATTGAGGATCCAAATGCCCAAAATGATGATAATGACGTCATTTCTGAAATGGAAGGTCTTTCACCTGAGGAATTTTATGAGATGAAAGTTCAGGATATTCAGGACATCGTTCATACAGTAAAGTCTAAAATCACACGAGCACGACAACTTCAAGACTTGTTGAGAAGTTTTGAGGCTCGAGATCGAAATATTGCGGAATTAAATAACGAACGAGTCAGTCTTTTTAGTATAATAATAATAGTGACAATGTTGTGTGTTGGCTTCCTTCAAGTCTTCATGATCAGGAGCTTATTTGAGACAGATCCAAAAGGACGACGAGTGTGGGCGAAAATCACAAAAATTGTTCAGAATTTTAAGTAGCTTTCGTGTGAAAATAGGATTTTATGAGGAATTTTTGCAAGTAAAAAATAATTAAAATTTTAAGTTTTAAGTTTCTGATTTGTGTCTCGAGTCTTGCCTGAAAGCTAAGAAAATATACCAAAATATTTAAGGATGTCCATATCATCAATAGCCACTCAGTTGGTCTTGATTAACTGGGGTTTCTGGACTATAATATAGCATTAATTCCTTAGGTGTAGAATTAAATGAAATTTTAATTTCAAGGAGGGTGTCCGGCACCTCTCAATCCCCTCCTCCTTCCTAATATTGATCATCAACACCTCATATCTTAAACCAACCTAGATTTGACACTCTAGCTACATGGGCATCCTCAAAATTCAACGATAATTATTAATTACAATGAAAATGTGAACGCTTATGTAAAAAAAAGATAAAAAGCCAAAGAAAAATTGTGAATTGAAAAAATAATAATTTTAATGCACAACGTAAAGCTCTGAATTTCTTTCTAAAAATCCTATAATTTTGATAATATTCGATTCTGTAATCTCATTTAATTTTAACATTTTTATTTAATCATTGATGCCATTTTCATGTGAATAATTTACAGTAATTTTTAAATTCAATATTTCTAATTTATGTAAATAAAAAATGGATATTAAAAAGATTTTAGTAATTTTATTAATTGTGGATTTAATGTTTTCTTGATCAAATGACCACGCGGACGTCCCAAGACTTCTTGGAAAGAAGCTGTTGACAGTGATATTTTTGCATTTGGCATGAGTAATTGACAGACAGTAGCCAGTGATAGAGACAGCTTCAGGCGCAATCTAAGTTAAGTCATTAATCACAATTTATCTGTACGGCTAGCGAACAGCCAGTGCCTCCAGCTGAAAGGCTGGGCCCTTCACACACGGCCAGTGAAGTAAGTAACTGATTTGATTAGGATCCGGTTTTGGAGTTTCTTGGTTGGACCTCCAAGACCAGCGGATTTTAATTTGAATAAAATCGACATTTTATTAAGACTTTTCCAAGAAACATTTGTCAGATTCATCCACACTTGCAATCTAAGGATCACAATTGAAGTAAACATGGCTTCAATCACTCCATTAACTTCTTGCTCCTTCCCTCTATGAAATCGTGAAGAATCTCGTCGCTAATAAGCCCAAACATGCCCTCCTTCCCTACCATATTTTGAAACTTACTCATCACGAAAGAATACTCAAAATTCTCGTTTTCAAAAATCATTGCTCAATACAACTGAAAAGAATTCATAAATACTATTGGCTAATCCCATCAGCTGCAAGATGCAAAAGTCGTGAGTATCCTCAATTTTTTTACGAGATTTTTTCATATAAATATCCAGGAATTTTCATCCTTTCATCACAGTTTAAATTCAAAACTCCAAAGAAAAACATGAATCAACTCAAGATTTTCATCATCAGTTGCCTGATTTATCAAACCATGGCTGGAGGTCCAGCTACAGACTGTGTTACCTGTGCGGCTGTCTTACTAAATGCAGTTGCTCCATCACCAGAAACTTGTTATTCAGATGGTTTACCGAAAATTGACATTAGAGTCAGTTTCAATATTGACAGACCTGACGAAAGTGGCGTCTGCATTAAGCCGCTATTGCCTTTCTCATCTAGTGAAATTAATAGCGATATAGATCACTTCATTTCTGCAGAGATTCGATTTGATTCTGCTTAAAAGTAAATTTGTCGAATTAATAATAAAATAAAGGAAATTTAAAATAATTTTGTAATTTCATTAGGGGTGATCCAGGGGGGTCCTACTAGGCACAGATTACCTACAATGTCTTTATTTCTCATCTAATCCTCAGATTTAGTTTAACGTATTTGCGACAATTTCAAACGAATGCAACTCAAAACAAAGAGCAAAATGAGTTGTCGCAAGGCACAAAACTACGCCGTACTCGCCCGTCTCACAGAGAATAAAAAAAAAAGATTTCATTTCAGAAAGAAGAAAGAAAAGAAGGAGAGAAAAACTATTTTTTTTTCAATCCACCAACAAAAAAAGAAAAAAACTTTTAATTTATGAATTTTGAGTGGTAAATTCAATAAATTTTCACACAATTTTATCGCAAAAATGTAGATAAGTCGCGTTCGAGTGCTGAGCGTCGTCGCACATCGCGCTATAATTAATTAAAACCCGTAAAAATTTGCAAATAAAGAAGAAAAAATTTTTTAAAAAAAGGAATAAAAAAAAAGATTGAGGAGAGGGACGTAGACGGGAGAAGTGAAGAAAAAAAAAATAACAAAAAAAGGGATTTTTTTGCTGAAATAATGCACAAGTTGAGTTAAGATTGAACATTCCATGCACAACTGCAAGATCCCGAAAAAATAGTTAAAAAATAATTAAAAATGAATGTGAAAAAATAAAAACAAAAATTTTTAGTGCCAAATTAAATAAAATAAAAAATTAATAAAAAGTAAGTGTTGTGAAATTCCAATCATTTAGCGCTGCATAAATTGTCGATCGACTGCTGATGGGGTTAATTGGACGATGTCATATTTTCTAAATTTAATTCTAAAAATATATAAAAAAAATTATAAGTGGAGATAAATGAGCTAGTGAGCAACGATAACGCATTTTACGGTGACATAAAATTATGGAAAAAAAATCGATTTTAATATTCAGTTCTTAAGTGGGCAGTTCCTGCTCATATGTTGAGATTTAATGATTATTCAGTGTAATTTAATGTGAATTAAAATTTGAAAATGTCTATTAAAAATGTTGAAAAAAATTAAAATTGTCTAAAAAATTGCAATTTTTTTAAAAAATAAAGAAAATTTTTTAAAAAATTAAAATTTTTTAAAAGGCTGGGATTTTACAAAAAATTAAAAAAATAACAAAAAAAAATTAAAATTGACTGAAAAGTGAAATAATAAAAAAATACTGAAAAACTAAAATTTCAATTTTTTTTTGTTCAAAAATATCAAAAAAAAACCTACTTAAAATTTGCTATACAGCAAGAAAGAAAAAAAAGTTATGAAAATAATAAAACAACGAGTGAATGTCAAACAAGTTGAGAATTTATGTTTTGTTGGGATTTGAAAGGAATTTTGCTCGAATCAGAAGGTATTTGAACCAATAAAAATTGTGACCCATGAAGTGAAAATGTAAAGATAAAAAAAATCATCAAAAATTTGAGTAAAAATCTAACAAAAATTGTGTTAAGTTGGTCGTAAATTTTAAGTTTTGAACTTTTATTTTGGGAACTTTAGGTCTTTAAAGCAGAAGTTTGGTCGTATCGAACGTTTGTTGGGCCATAGCATACCCCAACTTTTTTTAAGGTACACTAATCTGCGTGGTTCAACATGCTAACTTGCCAATCTAGCAATTGTCATTTATTGAACTCTAAAATAGCTATCAATTGATGAATCTTGCAGGACATCCTGTTCTTTTAGGGATCATTGACTAATTTAATAAACTGTCTTGAACCCAGTAGCAGAATTAAATGAAAAACTTACTAAGGCTTGGGTTTTTGGACAAAAAAAAACTTAAAAAATTTGTTTCTATGTCTCCAAGTCCACTTAATGGTTGATCAGTCAATTTTGACATGATTTTCAGCTTTTCTGCTCAGTTTAGGAATCAGCCAGTGACTTTTAACCAAAAGTCAGAACTCCCATTGATGGATTTTCTGAGCCCTCGCGAACCCCTCATGACTAAGCCCATATTCAATATACTCGTAAAACCAGTCATAAGTAAAACCACATTATTATATTACTTTCAGTTTACACAGCTAATGAGCTTCATTTTATATTCCTTCAATATTAAAATAACTGCAAATCTAGAGTTTTATATCCCATTAAAATTTTATATCACTTTCTATGAAGCTTCAATTCAATCCTTGCACAATTAATTTCATGTTTTATGTCAAGAATTCTATATTTTCATCATATTTGCCGATTAATATTGCTGCATGTGACAACCTTATTAGAGAAGTCAATAATTAGCTTTCAACTTGTACGTTTAGGAACTGATTGAGTGATGCTGTGGTAGTCTAGGTACTTACTTACTTCGATGGTCGGACAGATCAATTGTTATCCATGGCCTCTCTCACAAGGCACCTAAAGCTAGCTCTTTTGTGGGCTACCACTTACCAATTTCCAAAACCAAATGCAATACTGTCACTATCGACAGTCTAGGTCAGTGATGCCCAACCCATATTTCGCGCAAAAAATTTGTGATATCCCACAAACCTCAGTCGATTTTGATCATGGCTTACCACCAAGTGTGTCGTGGCACAAAAAAATGTTGTCCACCACTGGTCAAGGTACTTATCACATCTAAAAAGTCAGGATAACTCGATGTAAATGCTGCAAACTAGTTTCAAGAGTCCTTAAACCATTGCTATCATAATAACTCAAAAGTGAAATTGCCGTATAATTCAGTAAATTCTCGAATTAAATTCCCATTAATTCCGCTCTTATCACCCCACAAAAAACACGCTAATAACATACCCAGCCGAGAGTCAACAACACTCACACACAATCAATTACATTAATTGAAAGTTATTTAGCGAAATTCACGCACACATTTAAGCGAGTTCAATTCTTCATTCAATTCACAGCACTGATCTGTTTAGAATTTAGAATTGAGTCAATGACGGTGTCATGACTGTAAAATAATAATGGCAGTAGCTGAGAACTTATCAAAAGAAAACAAAAGATTTAAATAGAGTGAAACGGAATTGTCTGTCCAGTTTTGGAAATTTATGGCTCATGACGAGACTGACTGATGGATTTTAAATCAAAATTTTTTTATGAAAAACTTAGAATGTGTTTTACGTGCTGTGCTGCATTTAATGAGGCATGTGTGTTGTTTTTTTTCGGTTCTTTTCTCCTCATTTTATGGTGAAAAATTTGTTGTTTTATTTAATCTTCTGGAACTAAGTTGCTCGGCTGTGGTTTTGATTTGGCTGTGGATTTCACTTAATACTTGCAGATCAAGATAAATTGATGGATGGGCGATGGAGTTGACAAGTGGTTTTTGGTGTGGATTTGGAAATGTTGTTTTTTTTTGTGTCATCGGTGAATATGATAAAGACAAAGGGGTGTGGCATGTAAAACTTATTGGTTTTAATGACATTTGAATGGGTTTTTATGATTCTATCTGCTCGGAGGGTTAAGTCTTTTCAGCTAAAGCTATTTCTTGTCTAATATGAAAATGAGCTGTGTTTTGTCATCTCGGGTTGAGATAAATTTGGTCATCTTGGGTCAATATTACCTTTATCATTTCGGGTCGAGCTAAGTTTGATCATCTCGGGTTAAACTAAGTTTGGTCATCTCGGGTCGAGCTAAGTTTGGTCATCTCTGGACAAGATTAGTTTGGTCATCTTGGGTCAAGTTCAAATACCCTCAGTCTTTAAAAACATTCTGATTCTCAAAAATTCTAATACAATAATCTATTAATCTAATACAGCAACTTTAAAATTACTTAACAATAATACAATAAACTCGAAATCATCACGAATCTAAATTAACTCATAAAATTTTCGAAATTTGTTCCATTAATGTTCCATGATTATCGTTCATTATTCTACACGATTCAAAATAAAATACTTTTTTAGTTCATAATAATGCAAATGTTTCGGTAAATTGAAGGGAATAAGCAAGTAAAATAGAATTTATGACACATCGAATATGAGATCATATGTGTAGTTATTTGGAAAGTTATTTACGCGCGGAATTTTGTGAGCTTGCAGAATTTAATTGGAAATAATTCAATTTTTCCGTTTGCTGTTCAGGCTTCAAATTGTGTCTGTAGGGTCAGATGTGTGTTAATATGCTCAATATGGTTGTTTTATGATGGCTGGCACCATTAGATATTCATTAATAAGCCATTTTATGATGGTTACCAGAAGTTCTGAGTTTAATTTCTAAGAATTTTCAAGAATCATGGAATTCTGCCAGGTGGAACTAACGAAAAGCAATTCTAGTAATGAACCTATAATCAAGTGCAGTAACGACACAAAACGAGAAACATGAACAAAGTAATTTTCTGAGGAAGGTTGATGATTACATGTTTTTTGGATGTTAAGGCTGAAGATTGTATCATTTTTGTAATGTAATTGTTGTGAATCATGTAAAGGTTTGTGCAATATTGGATGTATTGACTTGTTGTTGAGCAAGAAAGCATTTAGGAGTAGATTTGAAAGTTTAAGTGCCTAGCAAAGGGTTTCGGACTGTTGGAACTTTATCAAAAATAATGAAAAATGATTAAAATTGATTTATCCTTAATCTGAACCTCCTTACCTCGTGCAGATCCTCAAAATAACTCAATCAAAGATTTTGAGCTTCTAAAACTCTCAAAAAATTCATAAATTTCACCAAAAATCAATTTCTACCTCACCAAACCCTCCCAAATCACTTGAATTCAATTCAATTCCCATTTCTTTCCTCAACGCTTGACAGATTTCATGTTTAAAAAGAAAAATATTCATTACTAATTTTTGATGATTCTTCTTTACCATAAAATTAATTTTATCATTTTGTACCGCAAGCTTAATAGACTGAAAATGTAACTCATTTATTCATACCCAATTCAGAATGTTCTGTAACGATTTGAATATTTATTACTGCTATTAAAGCTTTAATGAATCATGTGATACGTTCGGATGAAGCGTGAGAGTTGATTAAGCTTAGCTTGATGGTAGGAAGAGCTTGTATTAGAGTTTTGGGATTGTTATCAATTTTTTTATAAATTTTTTAAATTTTTTAAAACTTGAAAAATTCATAAAATATTCAAAATTCATTGACCCGAACCCCAAAGCACTCCAAAAATATTCAAATTTCTCTCTCGTCTCCTATCTCATTTCACATAGTAACCTTTGACTCTTTGTCTTTGGTAAAAGCGACAACATTTAAGCTAATTAGACAAATTCATACTTTAGACCTTGAGTGGCATTGATAATCTTCTTAAAAATTTCTTATGGCTTGCTTTTTTTGGCATGCGTTTATGACGAATATGCGGAAATTTAAAACGAGCGTGCCCCAAAAAATGTGACTGGTTTCTGAAAAGGAAAGGAGATTTATGTAAATACAAAATGTGAGATTTAACTTTTTTAGTGGTTTTTTGGTGACAGATTAACGATCTGTGTTATGTAAAAATGTTGCATAATTTGCCAGGTTTTAAGGTTTTAAATGATTTTATTGAATATTTTGCGAATTTTGCATTTTTTACGATTTTAGGAGCTTTAACAATTGCAACTCAAGCACATTAAATGGTTTACTGATCTATTGGTCATCCCCAAGACTCCAAACTTAACTCCTTCTGCAACATAACAAATCAAACCACAAAGACATGTCCACAGTAGCTGCAAAAAAGCCATCAAATCAATGCCAAAAGTCAACAAAAACGCGAAATTCAAAGTATACCGTTCAGTATAATTAAAAGTTTCATTTAACAAATCGACAAGAAGCACAA